AGTCACAGCTCTACCCGCACACGTTCGTAAAGTCGCTTACTGCTCAGCATGGTGAACTTCACTTTTCCAGAACTCCCATGATTCCTCTTTCCCCCTCTCCACATCGCGTTTTCCTTTTGAGGAACTAACTTTTTTAGAAAAGTTATGTTTTTATGCCTTCTTATTGTTTTATTTTTTTCTAAAGCCATAGAACACAATTCACATTTATTCGTTTTCTTTTCAGAAACAATTTATTTATTTATATTTTTCTAAGGGTTTAAGTTTTCATAAAATCCATATTTTTCCTCCACCGCATGAATATCGTAAACCATACAAAGCTTTAAATCTGTTATTTCAATGATATATAGTATGCTATTAACTTCCAACTCTCTATATCATATATGTACATACCATACTTATAAGCCTACACAAAAGCATTCCCATAATTTTTACCTGGGTTAGGCATACCCATCTTCGGCCTTTCGAAGCTTTACATGCTCTTTCAAAGCTATTAAAACCTGGAAATTGATTTGAAAACTTTGTCTGTTGTTTGTAGTTTTTTTTAACTTATTCGGGAAAAAAATTGGAACTTTACGGTTCTAGTTAACAGATTATTTGGGTTAGGGTTATTTGTTAACATGAAAAACCCTCACTGAGCTTAATTTTATTCAGGCTTTTCATAAGCGTAACCTGCGGTAGTTTTCCGATCGTGAAGTTTATAACATTTTAGGGTGCGTATTTAATTGTGTAGATTCGCAGAGGTGTATTGTAACAATTATAAATTGACCTAAATAGGTAATGGAAAAATTATTGAAAGATTTCGGGCCCCTATTTGTTACAGGACACAATAGAAGTGAAAGAGTGTGATAAAATCAAGAAATGTAGAATCCTAAATGGTTGAAAGTAAGATTTACAGATTAATTCCTTACACGCTACTACTTTATAAATATATTATAAAATTTATAATACTCATTTCATTTTTTCGCTCTCCTTTTAATATGCTTAAAAACAATCCCGAACGATTGATTGAATGAATAAATTGACGTAAAACGCCACGACATAAACAAAATTATATATTATAAATTACAAATTACAAAAATTAAACCAATTTAACAATGCCAAAACCCAATCTATATATAACGCGTAAATCTCAACTCACCTCCAGATTTCAGTACCGGTAAGAAAAGTGTATATTCATTTATTTATTGGCAACTAGACGATGTTTTGTCATGTCTCCTGCTTAAATTCCGATTTCCGTATCCACTCCTATTCCTACCAATCCTGTTTATTCTACACTTTAATTTTTCTTCTGTATTTATATTTCTTCTGGGTAGTGCTTTGTTTTTTCATTTATATTATCATCTATATAATATATGTACAATATATTACATACTAATTCCATATTACGTTATTGTACAAACATAAAAGATAAAAACGTTTATAACAAGAAAGAAAAGTTGTCTGCGCAGAATAGCAGAATTCCGATATGTTTTTTAACATTTGCCACACAATCATGATTAGTGACAAGAACCATCCGTCAATTGTCAATATGAGCGATATTATATTTGTTTAACAATGTTTAACAATATACAAACATATACCGCTTTACCAAGATGGATTCAAAACAGAGCGATATTAGAAATCAGACAGACTTAGCTATACCAGCTGAGGAGTCATATATGTACCTTAAAGGCTATATTTCAATGCGTTACACATTAAGTTACATATAGCTTGAACCTATATGTTACATTTAGTAAAAAAAAATAAAACATTAAAATGTTACATATTTCAAAAACTGATTTGAGAACCATCTAAATGTATTTTTAGATTTAAAGAGATCTGTCTGATTATTAGATTTTTAATAGCATAGTATTATTGACTACATTCAAATAATTGAATGTTTCCGTTCTATGCCAAGTATGTAATATATTTACACTCTCTATGAAATATACTTACATATTTACCTCTTCAATTTATAAAATTTGTTTTGAATGTTTGTATGTAGTGCTTTGTGTCATAATTGATCTTTAATGTACAAATGTATACAAGTGCACCCTGTTAATTCGATCATCCTAACTTAATTCAACGCAGAAGTATTTCCATTCGATTACAAAACATATGCGGCATGTACCATGAGTGTATGTATGTATGTGTACATACTGTATTATAGAACAAGAGAAACATAAACATAAAAGAATTCGGTATGTCCCTATCCAATCCAAATCCTGTTATTTGGTTAATTCTATAACAAATTCTATAATAGTTAAGATTATCGTTTTGTTGGCGTTTCCTTTGACCTCACAATTTGTACTCTTGAGAAAGATCCCTCTATCTTTCTAATAATAATTTATTTCGATAGTCAATTTGGCAATGGCAAACAGAAATAAAGTTTATTGCGTTTGTAGGGTCGGCCCATTAGCCGTTTGTCTATATCAACAAAATTTATTTTGCCGTTTATAAAGCTAGTCACTTGGAATTTTAAATATGGAATATATATATTTATATATATTATATATATATTTATATATATTATATATATATTTATATATATTATATATATATGTATATATATTTATATATATATATATATATTTATATATAAATATTTATATATATATATATATATATATATATGTATATATATGCATATACACTTTATTTTATATATATATATATATATATATATATATATATGCTCTTGCGTAAACAGAATTTTACTCAGTCGATTGAACTCGAATGCAATGTTTCTTCTTATTTTTGATAGACTTTATATTTTGAACTTAATTTTTTAAGCCATTTGCTCAGTCAGTCATTTTATTTACTAATTTCTCGAGACAATCTAAGAGAGAAGTGCCGAATTTAGTATATATACATCGATGAATAATATTTCAATTGTTTGATAACTATTCTATTTCGCCAAACTTTTTTGCAATTGAACAATGTCTTTTGGTAAATACATACAACAGAATTTTATAAATTTGCAAATATCATATAAACCCCGAAGATATTTATGAACACATTTCTTATATAATTTGACTGAGGGGAAAGAGACACAGCCGCTGCGTAAGGTGCGTAGCTTTGGTGCGTGTGTATGTGTGTATTTGTGTATGTTGTCTCGAAAGAAGTTAGAATGTATGTTATGGCTACTCAAAGCTGAGTGCAGGCTAATTTTGACATTAGGTATTGTGAATAAATAAATATATTATTTATAGTTGGAATCTATATATTAAAAAAAAAAGTTTGTTTCAGACAAAAGCTCAAAATTAATTCTATTGATTTCGTGTAACAAACTATTACATCAGATATTTTCTATGTAATCATGAATATCACTGCAAGTTCTCGGTTCGCAAAGTGTACACGAGTATATTGATTTTATGCAATGTCTGTCTGTTCGACTTTAGAGTTATATTTAACATAAAATATTTAATATGAAAACGTTGACATGTAGAAAACCACATGCGACAGTTCGATGCATGCTAATCACACAGCGTGCGGGAATTTGAACACATTAATCTTAAAATGAGTATACACATATCTATACTACTATATATATATATATATATATATATATATATATAATTGTTTTCTAAATTCTTAGCCTAAGAATTTTGCAAGTGTGAGTTTCAGTGGGAATCACTCTTTTTGCCCTTGCAAACCCTCTCCGAGTTATTTTTTATGAATAAATTTCGTTTTCTATTGTATGTTAAAACGTTGTAAAACGCATTTTATCACAATATCTAAAATATTTAATTAAATTTTAATGTTTGAGAAGCCTTTTCTACATTAATATAAGTGATTTGCATTTGGATATGCGGAAACTTGACAAAACCACCCTTTTCTTTAATTAATTTAGAATTGAAGATAAAGTCGCGGTGGTTTTAGCTAATAAACATATCATCCATATCGTATTTGTATTAGTGTCGTTCTTTAATATCCTGTGGCTTGGAATACTTTGGGACTGCTCTCAGTCGAGATTTTCACTTAAGATATTAAACTAAAAACTATATTCTTGTGAAAATAAAAGTGTCCAATCGGCAATAGGTCCACTGGTCTTTTATTCACTAGTTTTTTAATCCTTAACAAGGAATTTGACAGTCTTAAATTTTCCACATTTGCACGATTAAAATTATGCTGATTTTAGATCATGTTTTTCACATCTTTTTTATTATTCCTTTTACCTTTGTGTTGTCATCATGAATAAAACACATTTTTTTATTTTATTGTTGTTTATATTTGTTAGTCCTGAAATTGCCAACCAAGGACCAAATAGAACTTCAATCTTTTGCGTAGACTTTAAGTAATGTCTGAATACTCTTGCAGACAATATTATAATATATTCCGTATCTTTCACAATTATGTAAGGTATATTTAGATGACCTTATGTCTGGGTCGGCCGCTTATACTCTCTTTTCTGATTGCACGTTCGGTATGCCCGAAGATAAGGAATTCATTATTGTTTCATCATACATGCAAACGTTTATATCTTTAAACTTCTTTTACTTGTCTAGTTTTTAATTTTTTTTACGTTGGTGGCATATAAACACATATTTAGCTTTCAACTTGATTTAATTAAAGTAATTATCAGATATTTGTTGTTAATTTTTGTAATTTTTAAGCCGGCGGAACCAATACGAGAGACTGAAGTGTAATTGACATTTGCAATAATAAGCATCAAGTACTTATGTAATGATGTAATACACTTATACACATAAGCATAATCATATATACAACTACACATACAGATACAGACGTACCGCACGCTATACACCATGTCACAAAAGTATTGAAAATATTTCCTATAATGCATAAGATACATATATAACTACATACATTATAGCTACTATCGAAATGGTTAAATCAAATATACAAACGGCATGCATAAATAGAAGATATAGAAAAACAGTAGAGCGATTTAAAAAAAAACTAAAGAGCAAATCAGTATTGCGGTACATTAGGAAAAAACGGAGCTAACCATCAAGGCAGTATTCAAATATAGAAGGAAGGAATAACCTTAGCAAGGAATAACCTTAGCCTTAGATACCCTTAATGTTAGGATGAGTCTTAACAATAGCTTCGATCGGTAAAACTATACTTTCATATGAATGTATGTAGATATGTATGTATGTAATAATATAATAATGAAGTAAGACGATACATTAATGGACACTATGACGAAAGTGAATATGTGATCATGAAGTCAAGCTATCAACATGTTTCCCAACTTAATGGGTTTTTATTGTATGGATATTTATGGAAAGCTTTTCTTTTATTATATTAACAAAAAAATGTTAAAGATAAATTAATTCATATACATACACACATACATATGCATGTACATATACATATACATATACATATACATATACATATACATATACATATACATATACATATACATATACATATACATATACATATACATATACATATACATATACATATACATATACATATACGATTCTTATCGAGACACCATAATTACCCCGGGTAAAAAAATGAAAATCATTGTACACGTCTAAATACCAAGAGCTTATTAGGGTTCAGTGAATTTATTACACATGCATTTAGTTATCATAAACATGCACACAGCTACAGACGTAAATACAAACATCTAAATGGAAATTGATAGACATGCTTCTCGCAAGGCAACAAGAAAAATAAAATTGATGCATAGATTAGCCACATAGCGTCAGTTGTTCGTCGGCCGGTATTGGCTAGTGAATTTTTGTCGATAACTGCCAACATCAACCATACATCGGCATAAACAACAGCATCAAGATAAAAGAAATAACTACAACTATAACAACCGAAAACAACAACAAACAGCATCAACAGAACAAGGTCTACTCCTTTCTACTACTATCTGCTATGTCTATGAACTACTTATATTCTACAACTACTACTATCTACAACACTTCTAACGAGCATTGAAACGTATGTAATTTAAAATTTTGAACTCTTATACAAACCCAAAACCACCCTTTCAAAGTAAAATACAAACAGTATGTATATAAGTTTGTTGCGTTTATGCTACGCAAGTGTATTGTTAAATAAATGAATAAATTCAATTAATAAATGAGTTGATGATCATGTTCAAAATGAAAGCCTATTAAAACCAAATTTTGTTTTGTACATTCCGTTCTTTATTGCTAAAAATATTTTAAATTTGCTTTGAAACACAATATCTTTATAAAAATTAAAGGTATGGGTTGTTGGAATATAGGAATTATGTAGCATGAACACAACACTTATACATACATATTGATTTGCTATTTATGTAGTAAAGCCCTTAACCTTAACTTGCCGCCTTATTTATCTCTTTTGAGCATCGTGCGTAATACTTACATCCATTCCGGCCACATAGTGTATAGATTTTTTCGCGGCACCAACAAAATAAATTCACCTTTCATACCACAATTTACATTAAAATCGAAATCAATTCACATTAGGAAAATCCTGCCCGACAAATACAAAGCTTTTACGGAATACAGGCAATACTATATGTATTACTATATGACACCAACATTTCTGGATTATCAAACTAATTCGGCGAAATAGGTCGCTAATAAATGTAAATTTGAAAGTAAAGTTTGCATATAAATGTCGTATGTTCGAGTAATAATTTACCTTATGTGTAAAAGGGCTAAAAGCTTACTTAACTACGTATAAATCATCAAGGTGTATGCTAGTCTAAAGTATATTTGTCTACTGATTCTGATCTAATTACAATACTTTGATTTGACAAATATTAGAATTTTGTGACCTTAGATGTCAAGAATGAGAAGGATTTCTTTAGTAAGCAGACATAAATTTTCTTCCATTCAAAGTATTATGATCAAAATTGCTTACTCAATACTGTGATTTTACTATAATCCTAATATAATCTTCTAAAACTGAATATGTCGATAAAGGTTAGATTAGCATATCGGTATTTTCAATCGTTATATAACTACAATGTATTATATACGGGAACCTAATTTAGCCAATAAGTATTTAATACACGTGCTCACATGTAGGATGTAGATCGGTCAAAGTCAATGAGTAGTAAGATAGAGCAGCAGCTGAGTGAGTCTGTGTGTTTGTGTGTGTGTTGTATTTGTGGGTGTTTGTGTATGTTTGTGTATGTGTTGAATGAGAGAAACTAAATGTTACTAAAACAATTTCCTTTCCTGGTAAGACAATAGTCACATTAGTTTTGTGTGTATTAAAATGGCGTTTTTAATCAATTATTTTGCTTGAATATTTATTTTTATTTTTATTGTTATATACTGCTTCTCCTAAAAGCGGAGCATATAACTTATGCACATGTGTAAACCAGTCGGCACTTCCAGGAATCGGAATATGTTCCCATGCCCTAATACACTGATTACACTCGCTTACCAACTTGTATGTATAAATATGTATACAGATGGATGATGAATGTTATTAATTTTTATTTCTTTTTTTACCTAGTATTACGTTAAATGAGTATGCACGTACTATTCTTTAAAACTCCGACTCTGACAGTGTACTAAATACATACATATGTACACACATGAACGGGTCATTTAAATGAACTGCTGGACATAATGAGTTATTATTGTACTAAATCGATAATTTTATTTACTCGGTCCTGAACAATATATATATATATACCTCGCGGGTAACTGCATATTTGAGAAATGAATAAATTATTTGTGTCGTTCATAAACGGCTGAACAACCAAATAACTGAACAAAACAAATCGTTCATGATGTTTATGAGTATAAATAAAATTATCGCTTCAGTTCACGACTCGACGAACAACTTAACTTATTCACAAAATTAAGCTACAAGTCCCCACTCTTATAAGTTTATATGTCATAAAAATACATAAACTTTATGTAATGTATGCACGCCTGTTGTTCAGTGGATGTATAGTCTTGCATCAAAACCTTCTCTTGCCTTCCCTTACTAATACTAAAAATATATTCTATCAAATTGCTTTACTGCTTTGCTTTCTTGAAGTCTACAAAAATTTCCCCATTCTAATTATTATGATTTAATGCCTTTAATTCGTTCCAATGGTCCATTGCGATTAAAAACAATAAATAAAAAAAAAAAAGACAAAAAGAAAATGCCATCGAAAGCCACGTGCCTTCGAATGTGTCCGTTTCTTCATGTGGTGTCCGTTCTATCCGTTTTTGGATGGAAATCCTTTCAATTATTTAAGAGAGAGAGTCTCTAAACTTGCATGCTATTTACGTGCAAGCTATTTATTCCAATCCCGCCTACCCCGAGGGACTACTGATTGCATTGTAAGAAATAATTGTTTTTCTTATTTTTAGTTGTTAATATTTGTTTTTGATTTGTTTTGTTATGGCTACTTATTCTTAATTTGTGCATACGTGCAAGTACTAAAAATACTCAATTATATGCTTACGTACATACATATTTATGCGTTGAGTATACATGTACATACGTATGTATGTAAATATATACCAAAGGCGTATGTATGTGTGCATGTATGTGGCCTGCAAATAGTGAGTGTTATTATGCTAATATTTTTTATGCTTATTTTGTTGTTTATTATTATGTTTCCGTTTCTGTTCGTTTGTTGTCTAATTTCGTTTGTTTCAGTTGCGCGTGATTCGTGCATTCCGCTCGACCCTGGAAGACCTAAACGAACGGCGCTCAATGCACAGTTTGCATAGCTTGCGTAGCCCCCGGACGGGCATGCCAACAGGCAGTGGTGTTCACCCGCTCTACAATTTAAATCTGTTGAACCCCAATTACAGCAGCAAACAGCAACAGCACCATCAACATCAGCAGCCGCCGCCGCATCAGCAGCAGCAGCATGTTTCTAATGCAACTCTGCCTTCCGATATATCTTACATAGACGAAGATCCACAGCAGCAGCAGCAGCAGCATCAGCATCGCATTTTGCAAAACGGAGTCAATTCCTCTGCATCCACAGCCAACCTTACACCCCCCTCACAGCAGCATTTATCATCACATTCATCTGTTCGATCTGCTGGCAGCGGCTTCGGTGACGTTGTCCTGCAGCAGTTAAACGAACATCAGCCAAAAAATGGACAGAACGAAACACGAATTTAAGACAGAGGCCACCTCCAAAGACAATATAAATACAGTCGACGCTGAGAGCACACTCTATTTATATAGTATTTTACGCTCCCTAAGCTGTGAGCGCGAAAGTACCGATTTGATTTTTGTTCGCAATTTTCTGATTAACTAATCTAAGTATTTATATTGTCTTTGCCTTCTTCATAATCTAAAATCAAAAGATATATACATAGATATGTTATGTATGTGCGGATGTATGATGTATGTACATATAAAACTAACCAGACTGCTGGCCATGTAATCGATGAAATATACATACATACTTTTATGCATACGCTCATATTCATATTCCACGCTCTGTCATATACCATATTGAGATTCACACACAAATGTATATGTATATGTATATAAACATACATCCATACATATGTTTATCAACGAACACCCCTGCGCGCGCATTCCCAGGCATATTAGCTATACATACACGTACACATACATTTATATATACATACATATATATGAAGCGTGTTTGTCGTATCCCGATAATTATGTACTCAATAAGATACCTAATTAATTAAATATTAACGCTTAGCAAATGTTATTTAATCGCATGATTTTGTATACTTTTAATCTTTTAATTTTTATATACAATTAATATTATTCTTGTGGAACTCGTATTATTAACTATATGAAAAAAAATCCAAACAAAATGTGCATCATTATTTGCTTGGTGCGTGCGTGTATGCGTATGAATGAGTTAAAGGATCAGACAACTGTAAGAACACAGTATTCTAGGGTGGATGTGGAATCCGAAGTTACGGCAAGTACTTACCAACGCAGTTCATAAAATACATACTTAATAGAAATCTAAAGTTAGGCAATATGAATCGCCATATGCGTTATGCTCGGGTACGAAGCAAATATCTTTCGCATAATAAAATAAAAATAATTTTACAAACATTCAACATTCATTAACAATAGCATACATCTAAAGGGTTCGTCTGTAACTGTGCTTGTTTTAAAACGACAGATACGCCATGTGAGAGGCGTTTGCTTAAACTTATGTATATGTGTTTGAAAAAAATATGAAGCGCGAACTCAGATACACTTTGGTAACTTTTAGGACTAAAGAATCTTAAAGGACAAACCCCTGTTTGATGTGAAGTGAGGTATCATATTTGAACAGAGACTGGCTTATGTATACATACATATTTGTGTACATATAATCTATATTTCGTAATTTTTTATATGCGATGAAGAATGGACAGCAAAGTATCATGTACAATAATCGACACACACTTCAACTTATTTTCAAAAGGACAAATACGTACTTACGTAAGAGCTGGGATGGTCTAATTTTAGGTAACTTCAGTAAACATTTTAGCTTTCTCTCAGCTCAGCTCTGACGGACAGGGCTGTGCGTTGATCACCAATTAGTCAGTCACTCAAGAAACAGTTTTATATATTGAGATACCATTTTAATATTCGTTGATTAATACGTTTTAAGTCATGTATACTTGAACTATGAATTGTTTTATTTACGCATTCAGCATACATTTAAGCATAATCTTCAATCAACAAATCATTCGGCGCACCATATGTATAATTTAGTAATGTAGTCTGAGTATATCCTTTTATATTCTTTCGGTGAATATGAAATTTTATATTTTCTACACAAATTTCTATTAATAACATTCCGAGATTATATCATTGTTTACAGTCGGTATTTACCATACTATCCATACTGATGTAATTTCTAGAAGCGTGCACACTATTACCATCTCTATATATTCAACTGTTTGGCCTGACTGACTGAGTGCTGATCAACGCACAGCCCATCCCGTAAGAGCTAAGAGGCTGAGTTTGAAACCGATCGGTTAGTAAAAAATTGCCTTAAACAATTTTTCGCTAAATTTCCACAGTTTCGGGTGATATTTCCAATATCTCTTATTCACGTAATCGTTAAAGCTTACATTCGAAACTTCTTCCATTTAAATTTTGACCGGCATTTTTTATCCAAGAGGGGTGGATTTCGCGAAATGAGTGAAACTCGTATCAGGTCATTTTAAAAACATCTATAAAAATTATTTTGAAGCCGGTCGGATGGTAAATAAGAAAATGTTCATTCAGCCGTTTTTAAGTCAATTTACCAGAGTTGGAATGCACCAAAACCTCCAGACAAACAGTTGCTTGTATAGAGATTTATGTTGATGCGATCCGCAAAAATGTATGCAGGTCTAAGATGTGAGGGACATGAAATGAATACATATATTTGGATGTAAACTAATTCAGTACATACCCATATAAAATGCATAGGTTTATGACGCCCTACACTATACCATACATGTACATAGACACACAAGTACATTCACAAATACAAAAAATACATAATTACCTATGTACATATTTCACAATGGTGCATTTATTTTAAATTCGATACTTTATTCACAATATATATTTATGAGTTTTTAAGACAGTCAATCCCACTTCACATACATATATATATATATACACCTAGCAATATATACCCAAAATTCCATTCCTCTTTTATATATATATATATATTTTATATATATATATATATATTATATATATATATATATATATATATATATATATATATATATATATATATATATATATATATATATATATATTGAACTAATCCAAAAACAAAATTCACTAGAAAATTACAATCACAATCGACAAAAAGTATGCATAATCACAATTTTTACTTCAATCAAAAATAGGTCTGCGCACAGTATGTACTTCATACTAACGTAATTCTCATAAAATCATTGTAGTTGGTGTGCTATACATTTACATATATATATATATATATAAATATACATACTATACTTACTATGCTCTACTATCGTTCTTTTTTAATTCATTAATAATACCTCCTTTCCAAATACTCACATGCATACATACGCCTTATATGTATCTGCACAATATGTATGCATGGTAGTATATAATATATATATATAAATTTATATTTATATAAATATATATGCATACAAATATAATTATATATATATAATATATTAAATTAAATCTATATATATATATATAAATTAAATCTATTAAATCCATGTAGTTTCTTTTTATCGCAGCCACACTAAACTGACTTCAACCTGTATTTCTCTTCCCACTTATTGTTTCCATTTTACTTTCTCTCTTCAATATTAAAGGTAATAGGCGGCGAGTTACAAGAACGCTTGATACCGGTTCCCTATAGCAAGAGCAACACTGATCAAGCTGTAAGCCTTTCTTCATTTTATCTAAATTTATGTACACAACGCCAAGACAAACTAGAAATTAAAACTCCGAAATAATTAAAAAAGCGCGCGGTCGTGGCCGGGTTTGAAATAAGTCCGATCTTAAGATATATGATACCCTAGGAATGAAATCTGGAAAGGAATATTCTATGCCTGCTTGAATATGGATAAAAAATAATTTTTTATTCAGTATTATCAGATCATCTCTATGTCTGTATGTATATATGCATGCACTCACTTCCGTTTAAATCATTGATTTCTAACACTTTCTGTAGAAAAAAAAAGTTGACATTTGTATTTTTAAATTGAATAAGGAGCAGTTTTTAAATAATTGATGGGGTCTATACTTTATACAATAATATAAATATATATATTGTGTTTTTTATATTGGAGGAAAAAAGGTTTCTAATTGCTATTATTTCCAACTGTCTGTATAGTTGACATAAAGTGCAGAAGAGTTTCGGCATGCCGAAGGCTCACAAGTTGATTCATAAAGCTGTTGGAGTAGGCTATCTCAAGGATCGCTTTACATATGTAGAAATGAAAATAATTTTCGTTAATATGCTTACTACTTATATATAAATTATGCATAAATATTAAAAAAAATGGCATGTCTGTATCAAATAACCTGATCTTATCGCGTAAGATAAAGAACCTACGCCTTGCATGCTGCTGTTCAGTTAAAAAAATAGAAATATTTCCTATGATTAACATATATGTTATATCTCATATTGTTGCCGTAATCTTTAATATATAGGTATATACATATATCATACTGTGTCCGAGCTGAGATTGACTTTTAGTTTTAAACTAAGTGTTTTGGGCGATGTCACATATTCAAGTTTGAACTGAGACGTCAGACATATTCAACAAAATTAAGTGCTTGTGTAATATAATTTGATTTTTTTCGGTTCGGTTTTTAGATTTTTCCTCGCTAGTTTCAACGAAAACTGCATGTTTTTTTTTAACATTTTCATTTCTATTTTGCATGCTCTTGCATTTAACTATATCGATTCATTCTCTTGCCTTTAATGTCCGTCCGTATTTTGATTTTTTCTACAGGGCCTGTTCTTGATTTCGATTCGGTTTGAACACAAATAAATTAAGTTCCGAAAAGTTCGATTAGAATCTAAATCTAGAACAGGTGCTTACCTTTGCATTTTGTGTACACATGCATATATGTAGATGATGTTCACTTGACTGCAATCGTTGTATATAAGTACATACATATATGAAGATTTTTCTGAGAAAACTAACGAAACTATCAGTAAATCTCGGTAAATTTAACCTACATACATCTGCCGATGTCTGCTTTTGATAGTTTCCCAGTTTTTATACACACGCCGCACACACATTCATCGCTGTGTTTATGTTCTGTTCGTTTTTCCTTTGTTTTTTGCCCTTAATATATGTATATACAAACATGCGCATATGTATATGTGTTTGCATTTGATTTTTTCAGTTAGACTGATAAAAAAAGTGTATTTTTCCTTATACTGTTGTTTCTGTCTATCTTGTCACTGTTCTCGGTGTTGTTCTTTTCTTTCTACTTGACTTGCGCTTAGATTCGTGTGGTGAACGCCTTCCGGCAAGGTCTTGACGCCCGTTACGGGGAGCACACCAATACTTCGCTGGCCGAGGTGCTGCGTAAGCAGACTTCGCTGAGCAAACGCCTTTCGGAGACATCTTCCATTGATTACGCCGATAATATACCCGATGAGCTGACTATTCCCGAAATAGATGTTGAGCGGTTATCATCCCACAGTCACACTGAAACTGCTGTTTAAGGCCAAATACAGTCTCCACTCACAATCATCCACATCCCCACTTACACCTACCTATAGATACTTGTGAACTTACATATATATAAATACACGGTTACATCATATTGAGCATTAATATCTTGAAATAAAAGCAGAAACAATGGAAATTATTCTTACAACTAAAACAGAAAAAGTACAACTAGTGCACACAGTATTGTATGTTCTCAAATGGATTTTCAAGCTTATATTAAGGAGGAGTCTTGCTTGACACAGCCAAACCAACAGCAAGTTTCAGAACTATTCTTCGTAAAATATATGCGGATATTTGTAGGTTTTTTGGGGCTGTGGGACACGTAGACACCTGCCACAAGGACTTCAAATTATTTGGAGAAATGATACAATATACTAGCCGTACTAATTCATAGTTACATACTAGTTACAATAAAGAGAAAATAAATACACATAAATATACACATACATGTGTAAGGAACAAAACTAAATTCGAGTGGCCTAAAGATACTAAAAGTTGAAATAACTATTAAAGAAACACATGCGTAACATCGCCATTACTCTCCAAATTCACCCGACCGATACACTGGACACAGAGACGATTAAAAACTAAGTGCGTTAAAGCCAAGTCGCCTATACTTAAGTCATTATTATATTATTATTACATACATATACATATAAAGAATAAATAAATGATCAAAAACGAATTTGTTGAATATAATCATTTCACAATGAGTTGGACACCAAAATATAGATAAAAGAAATGCAATGTATAAATTTAACACTAATTTTTCAACAACAGTATGTACTTACAAATAACCCTATATTAATCTTATTTACAAATTGCGAATGAGTGATGGGAATTCTACTTATGCCCTTTAGAAACTTAATTCTTTTGCTAATGCTGATGCCCAAATGTGATGACTAGCGGCAGTAAGGCACCGCATATCATGATAATAAGCTCGCTGTACCGCAGGCCTTGCACATTATAAGATTGAGCCGATCCATTGGCAGATGAGTCATTGGCTGCAGCCTCTCGAGATTCCTCTATAACATGGTAGTCATATTGGCCGGGTCCGCCTTTTCGGTTTGGATGACCACTGTGCCCGCCCTGAGTTAATTCAGGCAATACGTGAACTGTTGCAACGTACAAAAAGGTTCCGGCGGAAAATAACATGGCAATTCCAGTGGCATTTACCGAATTAAGTGTCTCCTTTTGTTCTTGCCCAATGCCAAAGTAAGTGAGGAGCGTAAGCAGTGGTGCGGACAGAGAGAATATACCAAGGTGCTTCCGGATCTGTTGTCGTTCAACTTTTTCATGCAGCAAAAAGCTGACTAAGCCAAATGCAGCCGGAGCCTTGTGCAGCATAATAGCTAGAAATACAATTATTTCTACATCCTGGTGACTTGTTGTTGCCGCTGCACCCAAAGCAACTCCATCAGCTAAAAGGTCGAGAGGTAAGTGTTTAATTAGATGAACCAATAAACGAAAAATTCCTACCTGCAGCATGCACCACTAGTCCGAGGGTAGCCGTAATATTCTTGTCATTTTCATTTCCTTTGTTGGTTTTTCGTTGAGAAACTTGGTCCACAAGCATCATAAAAACAAACCCCAGCACAAGGGAAAGTCCGATTGTACGCGAGTAATCATGTGGCTTGATCATGCCGGCTGACAATTGGGATGTGTTTGCATCTGTTTGAGGTCGCGGGGTGTCCATATATAAGGAACGTATACCCTCTGGTATAATAACTGTGAGGGCTGTGCCCACCAACAAGCCAGCGCCTAGTACCGTGACAAATTTTAATTTTTCCTTAGTTTAAGAAAATCAAGAAGTTAATGTAGTTACATGTATTTATTAGTAAGTTATATTATGCATACCTCACTCAATTTCATAACCAGGGGTATACTTCCAGATAGGTAGGATCCAACTAGCATCACAATTACCAACAATATAAGAATAATCGTCTCCTCAGCCATGTTCCGTTTCGGTGCAGTTTGTTTTTATATGTTTGCCAACTCAACTATTTGTTGTTTTTTTATAGACTTGGTATTTTATAAACTTGGTATTTTATAAACGATTTATTAGTATCTTTTTGCTATCAGCATACGGTCATACTGGTACAAAAATGACTAAAATTTGAGATAATGAAAATGACGAAATATCTATATACAATGTACAAAATAACATTGTACTAAGCTGTCTTAACATTAACTATATTAATTAGGACTGTAGTAAGCTTATACTGATAAACTGGTACTGGTGGCCGATGACTTTTCACCAAATCACTATGCCATCACTATAGTGAATACTCAAGTGGTTGGGTACATTAAAACTTGTGAACAGTTGTGAACATTGACGATGTTATCGATGTTTTGCAGCTTTTAGGCATTAAAAACATTAGCAGAGTAAGAAGACGATGTTAAAACGCAATATTGCATTAATAATTAATAATAAGATCAAAACAGTGCTTTTACAAATATGAAGATACTGAAAAATATATAAATAAGCGTAAATATATCCTAGTTAAGTATGTATGTGCCTGTGTATGTTTATATTTATTTACATTTGAGTTGCTACTGCTTTCCATTTTTTAGAAGAAATTTTGCAAATAGCTAAGTCTGTGACGTATATACTATGTAGATATTCCATACAATTGCATAAACGCAAAGCCCTTAGTGCCTACGTTTGTTCACGCATAAATTGGTGTAATCTGTGTATATAAATATGTAAATACTACAATCCCTGGACATAGTTTCAATATTTGTTTAAAGGAGAAGATACGGTATAAAATAATTATGATCAAACAAATCACAAAAGCTAATAAGGTTACTATAGCTGTGCATTTTTAAACTAAATGCCTCAAGAAAATTACGTATCTTTTGTCTTTTACTTTCCTGTAAGGTGTACAATGGGTAATTGTCTGAAAATAAACAGTCCCGATGACATTTCACTTTTGCGAGGCAGCGAAAGCATTAGCGGGCTGGATAGCGGACCGATGCAAATTTACCAGGTAAGCCAGGTAAAAATATAAACAGTTTTCTAAATAATCATGTATTCTATTATCTAGCATGAACCTTTGCCGCAAATATTTTATCCAGCGTCCTCTGCCAGCCATAGCGCAGCCTCTGCCACAAACATGTCGGAGGAAGATCAGATTAAAATAGCAAAGCGCATTGGACTCGTTCAGCACTTGCCAATTGGAACTTATGACGGCAACTTGAAGAAAGCCCGCGAGTGTGTCATTTGCATGGTTGAATTTTGCGTGGATGAGGCTGTGCGTTATCTGCCTTGCATGCACATCTACCACGTGCACTGTATCGACGACTGGTTGATGCGTAGTCTCACCTGTCCAAGCTGCTTGGAGCCCGTCGACGCTGCCCTGTTAACCAGCTATGAAACAACATAGCGCACTGTATCGACTCGCTGTGCGTAAGCGCTTTTAAAATTAATAATCAAAAGGAAACTAAGCGGGTCAGGGTGAAGGCTTGACCAATGCTTTCCGGGGGACTACTATATTATTATTATAAGCGGTTCAACATTACCTTTTTAGTTGTTTAACGAATAATTAATATCAATGAAAAAGTCGGTGTACATAAATACATAAATCTAATTCTATAAAAAAGGAGAACATATATAAAATATAGACGTAATTTTTACATAATTATATTACATATGTAGCGTATTGTCAATAATTAAAATAACTAATGCAGTCTTCATAACTTGTAATTGAATTCCTGCTTTTCAACAAGCAATAATTATACTTTGACTTGTCGTTTATAAACTCACCAGCTTTGCTTCTATATGGTCCTGACTGACTGATTGGTGATCCGTGCCCAAGCCGTAAGAGCTAGGAGACTGTAGTTACCTTATAAATTGAAGGTACACGTTAAGACGGGGTTTCGGGAAATTTAACTTGCACTCGCGGAGCATACAGTCATACAGCCAAATACATATGTACATACATATATATATATATATATATATATATATATATATATATATATATATTGAAATGTTATACCTTTTTGAATTCGTAGGGATCCCTACTATCAATCTGCATTCAAACATTTTACAAATCGATGGGTTAAAAAAAGTGGTTGACCAAAAACCGATTCGTTTGTAAAGTCAACCTTTTTTGAAGATTTTTTTTGAATATCTCGGCCAAATAGTGTTCGATTTGGGAATTTTATACCATTTTCGACTCGTATATATATATATATATATATATATATATATATATATATATATATATATATATATACATACATACATACATATATATATGTACATACAAACATACATATATGTACATACATCATACATACAAACATATATATATACATACAAATGTTCTCACGTACATATATTATGTACTTACATATACATACAAAAAAAAACACACAAACCAAAAAAAACAAAAAAAAAAGCCAAAAAAAGCTACACCACTAGCTAAGCACGAAAAACCGCAGAGCCCACTTGAATTCTTGAGAATCGAGGAGGAGGGCACTTGGCAGAAATTCGTTTTATTTAAATTTGCAGCACAGTGAAACATATAAGCATGGCCTGCGTTTGGTATTAGAAAACAGACATACGTGCATACATACATACATAAATTCATACATACATGCATGCATACACTAACACATACATGCCCACACACACACACACATACTTATATATATAATATTTATATTCGATCAGCTTAAAGCATAAATGGAGAAATTAAACAAAGATATGCTGCGCTTTCTAAACTAGCCTGGGGTAAGCGTGCTCTGGCAAATTGACAAATGGCAATATTTCAGTAGGAGTTCCATATTCCTTTTGATAAATTGAAAATGAACGTGAAAATGCGCGCTGCGTTTGCGACCCACCCAGCCATAAGGGATGCCCGACTGAGCGGCGCAGACGCGATTGACGAACGAACCTATGAAACAAGGCACCAGTATTGAGTAACAGGCTGTGAAAAGCACGACGAGGTCCTTTTCCATTATTGTTTTTAAAACCTGTTACCAAATTAAAGTAAATAAAACGTTCAATATAAAAAATAATTTATATACTTTTAAGATGGACGTGGCGTTGAAAAGACTGCGCTTAACATCCAAAGGTGTAGTTATTTTGGCAATTGCACTAATAGCGTGCCAACAAGTGGCTGGCGGTGAAGTTCCCAGAGGCCCTAGGAAAAACAACAGTGAGCTTCTGTATCCTAAACATAAGGAACTTGCTATCAGCCGGAATACATTTCTTGGTTGGTATTTATAAAGGAAATATACATACACAAATACAAGTCTCTTCATTTTAACTCTGCTCACAGAAAGAGTTCCTCCACTGTAGGAGAACCGATAATTTCAGTATTTTAAATCTAAAAAATTGATTAAATTATAGCAATTGTACAAGTATTTAAGCCGGTCGCAATGGACTAAGGAACTCTATAACACATTGATTTTTCTCATAGTATACCTCTATACATAAAACTGTTTGTCCTCACTGGCTGTTTGATTGGTGACCAACGGTAAGCCGAAGCAGTAAGAGCTTGGAAGCCGATATTTTAACTACAGTTACTTTATGTGATGGAGGTGCACGCTAATTTCTTAATACCCCTTACAATGTACCTCTATCATACAAGTATCTCCATCAAAAGTACAAATTCAGCTTCGTAGCTCTTACGGCTTAGGTTTTTCCTTTGGTCACCTATCAATCAGGCATGTAAAACAGTTTTATAAATAGAGATGAGCCAACATAAATTTAATTTAAAATTTAATTCGACCGTCTCTAGGAAATGATATACGTCTGATGTACCCCAGCAGTTATGAAAAGAGATATACCCCTACATATTCTGGTCCAAGCATAACGTAAGTCATCTGCATCTGATCAGAATTTAACAATAACGTGTTGTACACACTTCCAGCCGTCCTTTGTCATTAAATAGAAATGTGTACCGAAAAGGATGTATCCGTCGTAATGGTGCTTGTGACAATCGCCCGAGTGACTGTTGTTTCAGTAGTTCGTGTAGGTGCAATTTGTGGGGGAGCAACTGCCGCTGCCAACGCATGGGACTCTTTCAAAAGTGGGGATAGATCAACCTGGTGAAATCAAACAAGTTTAAATATGAGCAAATTTATAGATTAATACATATATATACCATACATTAAGTAAATATGATATGTATAATTTTAACCATTATATTTCTTCATACATTTAGCCATATTTACCAACTGCTTGTCAATTAAATAAACAAAATCGCATTACAACTGCATATGTTTTTTAAAGAAGACATTCTAATTGGCTATTACTAAAAAATAAAAAGATATACTTTCAAATTGTCACAAATATTGGGCTTAGCTTCGAATGTCACCTTAATCTGAATTTAAATACAGTTTCAGCCCACAACTTGCATATGTATGGTTGTTCAGTAACCTCTTCTTTTATTGTAACGACTTTTGTATATGGGTATACATATGTGTAACATGTCAGCAACCGGCTGATTTAATCATCGAAACTAGATGAAAGCAAGAAATTTGCAGCCAGTTCCTCATCTTTTTCACATGCAAAGTAAGCTTGCAATACAAGGGCTTCCGGAAATCCTAGTGCCTTGAGCTGCAAAATATTGAATATTGAAAAAAAAGTCAGTTAAAGTTGGGTGGATTCACACCATACCATATAGTAAAATGAAGTAGTCATACAAAGATATTAAAAAAATTTCGAAAGACTTAAACTATAAGCGATAGGTATTTCAAATTTCTTCGCAAGCCAGACATATATATCTCAGAAGTTTTTATACCCTTGCAGAGGGTATTATAATTTTGTCGTGAAATGTGTAACGCATAGAAGGAGACATCTCCGACCCCATAAAGTATATATATTCTTGATCAGTATCAACAGCCGAGTTGATATAGCCATGTCCGTCTGTCCGTCTGTCTGTTTCTATGCGAACTAGTCTCTCAGTTTTAAAGCTATCTTTATGAAACTTTGCAGAATTCCCTCTTTCTGTTGCACGCAGCTCATATGTCAAAACCAGCTGGATCGGACTACTATATCATATAGCTGCCATAGGAACGATCGGTCGAAAAGTAGGTTCTTGTATGAAAAACATTTTTGTTTATAAAGTTATCTTGACTAAACTTTGTATTTATTAGTTTTACTACGCTCCCCATATATATGCAAAATCCTATTAAGATCGGGCAACTATATCATATAGCTGCCATAGGAACGATCGGTCGAAAATTATGCTGTTGTATGGAATTTTTTTTGTTTTTCAAGATATCTTGACCAAACTCGGCATTTATTAGTTTTACTATGCTCCCTCCACTTATGCAAAATCTTATTCACATCGGGCTACTATATCATATAGCTGCCATAGGAACGATCGGTCGAAAATTAATTGTTGTATGGAAACCTGTTTTGTTTTTCAAGATATCTTAACCATACTCGGCATTAACTATTTTCCCTGTGCTTCTTAGATACGGGCAAAGCACTATGAGCATTTTGAAAAGGTTGGGTCTGCAAGGGTATTAAATCTTCGGTGTGCCGAAGATAGCACTTCTTTCTCGTTAAATTTCTAATTACTTTCAACATATAGTTTTTTTTAAATGAATTATTAATGATTTTTAATATGTATTCCTCAATTTGTCACTCTGATAAAAGTTGCTAACATAGAGTAACAAGATACCTGATTTCGTAAAAAACAAAATATAAAAAAAAATTCCTCAATTGTACGTCTTTTTGGTTAACAACAAAAGCGTTCATCACCGTTTGGAACAGTGGTACGTACCCGCTCTATAGCTTCTTGATCTTGTGGTGTTAGACGAATAGTGCCTAGGCTTTCTGTTGGTACATTTCTTTCCGCCGAAACAGAACCATCTCCTTCTGAGGCAACCGCTAAAGGCTGGTTTTCTGACCCAGCAGCAGAACGTTGGCCCTCCGTAGTTGCCGCTTGGATTGCCGATGACGTCAAATTTTCTGTTCGACTTGAATTTGACTGTGCTCGACCAAGTCGTTGTGCGTTGGCGCCCACCTCATCTTCGAGGGGCTGATTTAACATATTCAGAAACGCATCTTGGTTTTCAGAAATTAGTTGCAGAAGAGCTGGGTTTGTTTGGCCAATCTAAGATAACAAATTAAAAATATGATTAAGAGTGGTATTAAGGGCGGTATTCCACATACCTGTTGTAGAACAGCATGTAAAAGATGCGGATTTTGGTATATCAGAGAGCGCATCTGTAGGAATTGTGGCTGACTGCGTAAAAATTCAAATGGGTCTAAAAAAGGAAAGGTTATTCGAACGATATATGTACATATAATGAAATGTATTTACCAGCGGCTGATTCAGCCGGTAAATCGCTTGCAGCACCCTGATGTATATTAGATGCTCTTGAAGATTCCTCGTCGTCTCCTGGAGTAAACAAGTTCTCCTCCTGGGGAATGCCGGTAATCAAATATTCTACAGCGCGCTCAGGATTATTAAAGCTGGCTGCCATTGCGCGTTCAACTTGCTCCCGGGGATAACCCATTTCAACCATTGAGGCAACAGTACGATTAAATTCCTCACCCATTAGTAAATTTGATTCGGCACGTGTTTGCAATGACGCATTGGCCAGCTCACCAACTAAATCAATGCTTGAATAGTCGGTGGTAGAGCCTGTGGCTGCAGCTGGTGCTGGAGATCCAGCTCCGGTACTTCCTACTTCTCCCCCAGCTTCACTTGTCATTTTCTTAGTCTTTGTTCCCTTTTCAGACGATGAAGATTCATTTACTTGTACAGCAGGCTTACTTTCCACCAGTGGCTCATCTTTTGTGGATCTTTCTGTCGTCTCCTTGACTTGTTTCCGAGGTTGCTGCGACGAAACTGCATCTGTATTTGTGTTGTTGCTGCTGCTACTGCTAGATCCGCTAATATCTCGTGTAAGCATCACCACAATGAACTTTTTCTCATCGACTTTGTATGAACTGATTGTTCGCTCATCTGTCAGAATGACGCCTTAAGAAAAAAAAAATATACATACACACATACATACGAATACTGTGAATATCAACAAACAAGACAGTTACGTACCAGCATAAATCAGTTTTTGTTTCTCCACGAAGTATTCGGCACCACGTTCATTAAAAATTTGTTTTTTGAGTTCTAAAACCTACAGGAGATATGAATACAGTTGCATGTATGTATGTATATACATATGTAAGATAGACATTATATATAAAAAAATGAAATTTACCGTTTTCTCTGGGTCAAAGTCAATTGTGAAGGTTTGCTGCTGCAGGTTCTTTACGGTGATAATCATTTTATATATTTTTTTTTAGCAATAATTCGTTATTTTTAATTATTTGCTTTGCTCTTTTTTTTTTCTCACAAAAATGTTTGTCATCGACACTAGGGGTGGCCTAAAATATAAATATCGAATAGAGGGAAACGATATTTCCGTGAAGACTAAATTCTATTTTCTCTTATCGATGTTTTCATATTTATCTGTGGTCATATATGGGCTATTTACAGTTAAGTTGCAGTTGTATTTCTGTGCAAATTGAATTCATTTTTGGCAGCAAAGTAATAACAGACGTATAAATGCCGATAATAATCAATAAGCACACTACAATTACATATGTTGTACAGCAGTCAATCGAAATGCCGAGTAATAATATTTTATTGGCTTGACTAGAAATAATTTATGATGTACTTTAATGTAGGATCACTAACCAAATAACATATAGACCGGACAAACCGTACTTTTGAGGGTGACATTCGATATTTCTGCGGCTGGTCCAAACTCGCCTTCGTTTTTGTTCGGGTTCGAGACATGCCCGCATGCTCTCAGAAGCAAGAGAGTAAGAATACATATGGCCTGTGTCGGGGAACGGCAACGCTGTCTTTTTACTCGCTCACTCTACAAGAAACTGCTGTGGCTTACTCTCATCCATATGATTTGTGCGATAGAACGGCATCGCTGTTTTTTATCTCGCTCCCACTACAGGAAACTGCTTTGGCTTACTCTCAATGCTCTTTCAATTTGTCTATGTACCGTTTAAATGTTTGTGTGTGTATGTGTCCGCACAAGCAAAAATGCCCACAAATTCAATTTTTCTCAAAAATCGGTGGCATATCTTCCCTTTTGAGGGGACGAGTAATATGAAATAATGAAAGGGTTTGCCCCGTCGATGCGAAATTCTTTCATTTTAGCTCGTTCTTCTTCGAAAGGGTACCTAAGCGTTGGCATGTGTGCATTTAAAAGTTTTTGGACTTGCTATTCACGCATACTTGCGTATTTTGTATATGAATAGAAGCATTTATGCGCTTGTGTGCCTGTTGGTCCCTGCCTGCCTGTCCGATGCAAATTTGGCAATATTTTTGGACTTCTGAATTTCGAGCTCTGCGCACACACACACAGAGACACAAATGTGTGTGAATGGGCTGATCATGGGCGCAAAATTTAAAAATATTATTGGCACGCGTCTGACGCGCGCCCTTCTTTTTATGATTTAGGGTTTGAATTGATCAATGAATGTTGACCCCTTATTACCTGCAGCAGCCCGTTGGGCCGAAAGGGTCAACTTTTGGCAAACATCTGCACCTGCATATGTAGGTCAAGTGACTGATCACTTAACTAATTTTAGGAAATTTGTGTAAAAAATAAAATCTTTAAAATATTCAAATATACCAAATACAAAAAAGGAGCAATTGTATATTTATAGTGATAATAATTTTATTGTCTTAAAATATTTAGCTTTTTCATACATGAATTTGATCTGCACGTATTAAGGGGTCAACATTCATTGATCAATTCAAACCCTAAATCATAAAAAGAAGGGCGCGCGTCAGACGCGTGCCAATAATATTTTTAAATTTTGCGCCCATGATCAGCCCATTCACACACATTTGTGTCTCTGTGTGTGTGTGTAGAGCTCGAAATTCAGAAGTCCAAATATATTGTCAAATTTGGATCGGACAGGCAGGCAGGGACCAACAGGCACACATGCGCATAAATGCTTCTATTCATATACAAAATACGCAAGTATGCGTGAATAGCAAGTCCAAAAACTTTTAAATGCACACATGCCAACGCTTAGGTACCCTTTCGAAGAAGAACGAGCTAAAATGAAAGAATTTCGCATCGACGGGGCAAACCCTTTCATTATTTCATATTACTCGTCCCCTCAAAAGGGAAGATATGCCACCGATTTTTGAGAAAAATTGAATTTGTGGGCATTTTTGCTTGTGCGGACACATACACACACAAACATTTAAACGGTACATAGACAAATTGAAAGAGCATTGAGAGTAAGCCAAAGCAGTTTCCTGTAGTGGGAGCGAGATAAAAAACAGCGATGCCGTTCTATCGCACAAATCATATGGATGAGAGTAAGCCACAGCAGTTTCTTGTAGAGTGAGCGAGTAAAAAGACAGCGTTGCCGTTCCCCGACACAGGCCATATGTATTCTTACTCTCTTGCTTCTGAGAGCATGCGGGCATGTCTCGAACCCGAACAAAAACGAAGGCGAGTTTGGACCAGCCGCAGAAATATCGAATGTCACCCTCAAAAGTACGGTTTGTCCGGTCTATATGTTATTTGGTTAGTGGTAGGATGTTAGTAGCAATCATTAGAGTATCGTATAAAAAATGGTCTCTGGATTGATCCGGCAACGCCACGGTAACTGTCAATTGTAAATCTTATTAACTTCCGAAGCGATTTTTTTTGCGCATGCTCCGTGTTTCATACGCACACAGTCAGAATTATACAATACAAAATAAGTTTTTTCATCCGTTTTGAACAAGTGAAGACAAGCTTCATTTAGAATTGTTTAAATTGCAGATGGCAAAAATAGTTGTTTAAATATGCCTTCATTAAATTAAATTGAGAGGAGTTCATTTTAAATGTTTTTCGAGGACGATACGGTAACGGTTACAGCTAACTGTAATTAAGCAATCTAAATTTCATTCCAGAGTAGTAAGTTCGCCAAGTAACTAATCAATTGCAAAATACAACATTACGGCGAACATTGCGTGTTACACGTGTTTGGCACACTTTGCAAGCGGGTCGATAAAATAAGTGTCAAATTTGAAAGTGAAAATATGACTTTTAAAGTGAAAAAAAGTTTTTTGTGTGTATATATAAATAAGATATATATATATATATGTATACACAACATAACAATACACAACAATACAAATAAAAAAACTAAGCCTTAAAGAAATATTTACTATGCATAAAGATATGTAAACATATGTATATGTTTGCATATGTATATGCATGTATTTTATATATGTAGATACCATTTTTGAAAGTTGCACTGTTCGATTTAAGCTATATAAAAACATTGATTAATAATCACAAAAATATTGTATCGTTGGAAAATATTTGATGAAAGTAAAGCAATAATCATACAATGCTACTTAAACAATTAATTCAAGTGAACGGTCTATGGCTGCTTCTTTGCTTGATATTTTAAGTAAAAATCAAATATCAAAAATGTAATTTTCATAATATGCAATGTATGGTGCGAAAATATACGAGTATAGCAACTTAGATATGTGCGAGTTAAATTAACATAGGTCAGTATTTGGTATAACAGATAGTTGCCTGTTGCAAAAATGATTAATATATGAAATTTAAGATAAAAAGAAAAGCAAGAAGTAAATGTTTACCAGCAGCCCTATGCTCATTGAAAATCCTTGCAGACATATGATACACTATCGGGTATTGCCCGGCCTTGCCCGTGGAACGATTTGTGTGAAGTGTGAAACAATTCTGAAATGATTTTTCGTATAGATAGTTGGAAATGAATTTGAACACGAAATGTTACCTACAAAATTTTAACTGTCGACATAATTTGCTTTTACAGAAAGTCTTCTGATGTCGAGGAGGCCATAAGATGCCATACGTTCCTCCTGAGTTCAGACTGAAAAAGAAGAGTCTGAAGGCGAATCCGAAAATCTTGAATGATTTCAATGCGAGCACAGCATCATATATCTGGCTCAGCCTTAGTGTTTCAATAAAAGTGCAAGCTCAACATAAAACATGACGGTTAGTGGCGATCTACATATGTTCCATATAAAGTTGACCCTCATTTCATTAAGTTCTATTTGTTACAGCATTATGCCCGGGACGAATGCTATCATAATAACAAAAACGATGCCTTATCCACTGACAGCCGACCAATTAATAACAGCACCATCTATAATTATGATGAAGAGCATTCGGGTGCATATGCTTATGATGAGTATGGTGTTTCAGAAGAGTACTCTTCTGATGTGAATTGGCCTCGAGGTGATGATCACATGTTTGGAGATAGAAGCTTTAACCAGAACTATGCGCATTATACAGATGACTATGGCCCAGAAGAGCAGAATGTAGCTGGGGTAGCAACTGGGGAGTATTGGGACGAGAATATCGGCGCTCCAATTGATTATGGAGGCATTGATTATGGATATGGCTCAACTACACCAGTGACCAACAATGGGTGTGGCTCGTCAGCGAAATATTCAGATGATGTGCCAATTGAAGGTACGTACACCAGAAGAGGCAATCGCGTTGGTGTCTGCTTGCCAACCGCACCCGCGTCGTCGTCGACGATAATAATGGATAATTCGAAATATCGGATGTTACCGCACGCGGCTGCTTACCAGAATGTTCACGCTCAAAACAATCTGAATGGACATTCCGGCTATGCACCGAATGCTGGTTTAATAGACGAGAGAATAGGTAGTTTCATTAGTTTGCCAGCGGCGCCAATGCGGATGTTACCCGAGCCTCAGCAACGACCCAGCTCCTCACATCGATTATTTGAAGATAACAACTTAAAGTCAGATGCCTTCGGAAATCAAAACGTGCGTGGTAGCGTATCGGGTACACCCGGGTCAGCCAGAGGGACCAGCAGCTATGACGTGTTCTACCAAATGGCTCGACCCTACACATCTATGCTGCCGCTCGACTACACCGACTACTCTGAGTACGGTGGCAATTCTGATAACTTGTCAGCGTACAGTGACACGCCGCCAGTAAGCAATGCCCAGCACAAGTTGCAACAGCAGCGAAAAATCTCACTTATGATGGCAATGACAACAGCTTCTGTGATAGCATCTGGGGAGACAAGAGTACCGGTTCAGCACTCCAATAGGCGAATTGATAATTATTCAGTCTCGGCCACCAGTGGTGTAGTGCCATGTTGCGATCAAAATATCAGCATTTGTTCATCTTCCTCCTCCTCAGTTGCCTTTACCAACGCTACTACGATAGCTTTAGCACGGTGGTCAATAACAGACGCTCAGACAACTACTACGATGTCGACGACGACGACGACGACCACAACTAGAAAATTGCCTAAACTTCTCCCGACACCTGCTATACAGTATAAATCATCGCATGCCACTGGCACATCAGTTCCCGAAGTGATTTCAGAAACTACATTCCAATCCCAAGCGCAGCCTGAGAAAAATCATCGCGCAAAGCAGTTGCCAAAGTTGCCCGTGCCAAAAGCACAAGCTAATCTGAACTCAGTTTCTATTGGTTCAGAAATCAGTATCAACCGGACAGAATCGATGGTTTTACCATTATCAATATCTGTTAGCTCATCGCCAGAGAGATTGCCTGCAATACCAGATTCCGATCGGATGACTACCCTCATGGCCCCAAGTTCTCCTATGATATCAACGACAGCCATGGCCTTTGTTGATGGTGCCAATAATTTTTCCCACTCGGAGGAGAGTCAAACATTCACAAAAATGCATAATAGAACTCAGTTCCAGAACCATCAGAGCGAAGTGCCCAGGTCTGTCGACTCATTTAGATCTTGGCCACCAACTTCGATAGCCACCGAATCGCTTTCATTGTTTCAAAGTGAGCTTTCTAGCGACAAAAGCCAGCTAGATTTCACAGTACCCGCCAAACTCATTCAAAATATATCAACTGAATCCGCGCAATCCGAGCAAGAATCATCTTCAGCGGTCCCAACATCAAACCATCACCATTCGGCTTTCACAGAAACAGAAACAACAGTACCAATTGCTGCTTTAGGCGAAGCTAAGACATCATCATTTGACATATCTGATTACTTAAAACCTTATACATTTGATTCACTTAAATTTTCGACTCAAAATGATCACACCATGATCCCTACTACCGCAAGGACCACTTTCGACACATACGTAAGTGGTAGGGAGGTTTCGTTGGACTCATTTAAACTGACATCACTGGAATCCCAAATGCCAAATTCGATTACCTCATGGACGACTAGCCCCATTAACATTGAATCATCACTGTTAAGCGGTGATGCTGTTGCCGCCGTTTTAACGGCACCAAAAGAGGAAATGGTCATAACGCCGCTAAGTGAGTCTTCATCCACATTGTCGTATTTACCAAGTAAACCGATCTTACCAATCCCGTCAACAATGGAGGTTAAAAAGTCTGACCAATTTGCAGCGACGAGTGTTTCTCACGATACAGTCACAACTTTAAGCCACTTGAGTAACGTGTTCACAACAACTGTTATTGCGTCTAGTCCTTCGACAATAGGCATCACAAACACTAGTCCAGCTACAGTTTCTACGCCAGCGTCAATTATTGTTGATTTACCTACGCTATCGTACGTTGATTATATGAAAAAGTTTGAACTTCCAGAACTACCGCCAATTCTGGATATTTGTAGTGACGAGACAACAGCAGTTTTTCCAGAAACAAGTACTACAGATAGCGTTACTGCTACTACAGATGCAGGGCTTCGGAAATTCAGTACTAGTGGATTTGCGGAGACAGAAACACTTAAAAGTACAGCAACATTGCCTTCCCATACTCATCCCCCAGAATCAATCACACACTGCGAGCACGAGTGTAAAGAATTTGGAGTACAAAGCTATCAGTCTAATCAATATCAAAGCGAAATTCCTACCTGGCTGCCAAACCTAGTTCCGATAAATACTGTTTCCACTCATGCTGATATGAACAAATACCATGAAATAATTTCAACCGAAGCAAAACTCGAGCCACAAATATCAGAATCTTTACCGGATTATTTATCAAGCCACATAGACCAGCCATTAGAGAGCACAGTTTCAGCTTTCGATGACAGCTTTTACGATAGCTTTAATGTCGATTTATCAGCGCTAACGGCAACAATTGCACATATTGAAAGCGAGACGTGCTTAACTCCTGCTCTGAACCCAAACAGCAATGATACTTTGAATTATCTGCCCTCAGATCCATCAAGTAAGGCATACATGGATGTAAGGGAGACGGGTAGTTCAAATGAACTGAACGAGTCGTTCGGTTTTGGCCAAGGTGGATATTACAAGCCATCTCAAAAACAACAACAGCCGTGTGTGCCAGACGAAGCTCCACTTACACCTCAGAAAGCCAAAGTCGTTGCGTCGGCGGCTACCAGCGTCCTGGGAGGTCTGTCTAAGGGAATCAAGGGCGGATTGGATGGTGTGCTCAGCGGTGTTAGCTCAACGATGGAAGCAACTAAACAGTATCCAGCCAACAATAACAGTAAGAAAAGTTTTGGGTTTGGATTGGCCTCAAAATTGGTACCGAGTGTAGGAGGATTGCTTTCCAGCTCCAACAAGCAAGACCAACAGCAGGAAACAGCACCAACGACTTCCACCGACTCAACAGCGGACAGTACCCAACATATGCTCAACTCTAAAAGCACATCAAAGGGATATGATTATGTAAATGAAAACGATCACTTACCAGAGATTACAAATACGAATTCCAACACGGACGCAAGCGTCACTCTTAGCCCGACTATTGAGTATCTGGAAGAGTTACGGGTCAGTCAAAACAATGGTTCTGGGCTAAACAAGTCAAATCTAGACTATGACTACCTCGGGAATTATGAACCTGATAGTTCCGCAATAGAGGTGCTGGGATTTAGTGATGACTATAGGTACAATGAATATTCTGCACCGTATCAAACGACAGATGAGGGTCACGTTGACAGTATATACAGTTACACAGATCCATATAAACCAACTGTTGGTGCTGAGATGGCACTAGGATCGAACATGGTAGTTGATACAATTCCTTTCACTCAATATCAAACTTTAATGCCAGCGGGTAACTTACCTGCTGAACAGAAGACCTATATGCTTGAAACTGGAATCGGATCCGTAATCGAAACCGGTACAAGTAAATCCCAACCGGTAGCTTCAAAGATTGGTATAAAAAAAGACAGATCTAGCACCGTCGGCAGCACTGGTGGTATGTTAGGCTCAATTTTTGGTAAGGCTGCAGCAGCGGTACAGTCAGCTACGCAGGCGGTCAATCAGGGTGCCTCCTCTGTTGCCTCAGCTGTGGCTCAAAAAACATCGACACCATCTGCACATGTCACAACAGTTGGGCAAACCAAGCCTAGAGACGTGCCAGCCACAGCGTCTTCTAACCAAATTGCAACCCCAGTCTCGAGCATATCGTTTGTTTCTAACATTGGGCAAGAAGCAACGCGGGCAGCCAATACAATATCGATAACGAACGCGTCGGGAGCCATTGGATTTCACAGTGTTATGGACAATGATTATAACGAGCTAGTCACTAACCCGGACTCGGTGTCAAGCCAATATTCAACAGCTGGCGATGATTACGAGAATAGCAATACACACATGCTTGGTGACGACATGTCAGTGCATATGAATATCAATGATAATAAAGCATACTCTATCTACTATTCGGATGGTAATCAGATCCAGCAAATTGATACCAAAGACACGGCAGCAGTACACTCACCGATGCTGGGTAAAGTGATAGCTGGACAGAAGCTACTACCGGCGGTGCCGTCAGCAGGATCCACCGGCAAAAAACTGCCCACCATTAATGGTAAATCGGGTCTGCTAATCAAGCAGCAGCCAACTGAGATCTTTGATGATGAATCAGATGATGATCTCACTGAAGATTTTATGGGACATACCGATAAGGTTGACCATGAACCGAATTATTGCATCGATAGTGAGCAGGATGATTACTACATGGATCATCAGCAGACGACACCGTCAAGTCGAGGTGCAAATGATTATTATGAACACGTTAGCGCAGGTTATGACTATCGAGAGGATTTCTTTAATGAAGAGGATGAATATAAGTATCTTGAGCAGCAGACTCATCAGCAGCAGCAGCAGCAGCATCAGTATCAGCATCAGCATCAGCACCAATCACAAAAATTAATGCTCAGTCATAAGCAATCCTCATTAGACTATGTGGACGATGGACAAAACGACGATTTCTTGAACGAGACTTATCAAAGTGATGAAGACTGTGGCAATTATCTAGACGAAAGCTCGAGTGGTAGCGTTGGTATTGCCGAAGGACGTAAACTACAAGCGGAGGGTAACGGCTTCATTACCGGTACGACCACCAATGCCACTATGGGCATGAATACAACTCCAGCTATCGCCAATACTGCTGAGCATGCGTCGCTTCGTGCCAGCAAGGCTGCAGGCATTTGCCTGCAACTTGGAGAGGGTCACCAGCAAATTCAAAAACAGGACAGTATTATTATAGAAGAAGAAGAAGCAAGTCCGATAGATTTAAACAACGATCGCCGTGGCGCAGCACACAGCGACATGTCGCCTGAAGAAGACGCTGATGATGATGATCAACTGGCTGACCTGGTACCCACAGGAAGCCAGTCCCAAAAAAAGAAGAAGGTTCTGATGCGAGGCGAAACTGAAGAAGTTGTAAGCGGTCATATGCAGATGATACGAAAGCCTGAGATTACGGCCAAGCAGCGATGGCATTGGGCCTACAACAAAATCATAATGCAGCTAAATGTGAGTACCTGATTATATTAATATTATATTTTAAATTCTATTTAAAATTTGTGAAAAGCGTATAAATAATTTCATATTTAGAGCTTTAAAATTGAGTTTTGGAGCATTGGACAAGAATTAATCATACTGATTTTTGATAATCATATCTTATTTTATTGCTGTTTCTATACCCTCAACCCAATGAAAATGGGTAAAAAGGGTATTATGGTTTTGTGCAAATGTATGTAACAGGTAGAAGGATGCATTTCTTACCCAATAAAGTGTATATACTCTTCATCACAAGCAATAGCCGCCTTGATGTAGCCATGTCCGTCTGTCTTTCCGGCTTTCCGTCTGTTCGTCCATCTGTTCGTCCATGTGTCCGTCTGGCTGTCCGTCCGTATGTATGAACGCGGCGATCTCAGAACCTAAAAGAGCTAGAGCCTTAAAATTAGGCAATCGATAAAAATCGATATTGAAATCCCGTTTTTTAGCAAATCTCTTAGGTTTTCAGATTTGCTTAGTTTTAACCCAAACAGAAATTCTTTTCAAATTCATACTTCTTAGCTCTTACGAAGTCTGACGCTGTGCGGCATGACAACCAGAACTATGTATAGAGATAAGATAGTAGCGCCTGCCTTTAAAAGAGCCAATTTGACGTTGAGCATAACAATGAATATGCTTGACAATCTGAGCGAAGGGTACACGAATAATATTGATAAGCAGCGGCATTTACATAGTCGTTAATTAGGTGATGGTAGTACTTACACATGTATATGTGTCAAATATATGCATGCATATATACGCATGTACGCATATACGAGCATACATTGCGCTAATGCTTTTAAGGTCCAACAATTTGTTTTTGGTGTTTGCCAAGTTGTTGTGCCAGAACCACGCAGTTAGTGCAAAGTGTTTGAAACATCGCAATGAACTTGATATTCGGGTTGCTTAGCGATCGAATCGACAAAGAGAAGGGCCAAGACGAACCGCACATCGGCAATCAGCAGCTGATAACTCCAACTGCGGCAGAGCGCACCCGAAAATTTAGCTGTCTTCTAAAGCATCAACGCGACAGTGTCGTTTCTAATGTAAGTAGGTTTAAGCCAAGATTTTGACGGGTCATTTTTCTTTGAGTTATAACTACAACATTTAAAACTGCCCCTCGTTCATAGTTTATAGTGTGAAAAATTAGAAAAAACATTTAATTCTACAATAAGAATTAAGTTAAAAAATTAAGATTAAACGATTTTAAATTATAAAACTGATTTACAATCAGAATATATTCCTCTGAATGAGTATAAATGTTCGGAGACACGGATCTTTGGGATATTTAATTTTTCGGAGTTTTATTTCCGAAAGAACAATCGATTCAAACGTTGTAGCTGTAGTAATTGACAATGTACTTGTGGGTACAGGATATTAAAATACTTTTCTTTAAGCATTTAGGAACCCTTTTAATATGCCTATATGTACCACAATTATGTATTACCGACTGCAATAAAGTGCTGCATTTTTTATGCTTTTGTATTTTCATATCGGCGACAAAGAATAATATGTCTCTCTTGAAAGCTCAAACATACGCATATAATATAAAAATGTATTTATTTGCCTAATAGTTACCATTGAGTATTTAAAATGGAGAGAAGAAATGTCGGTCATGAGCTTTTGTATTGTTTAGCTTAGCGAGCAATCAGAGTCCTTATCAGAGACTTTAATACTCAATGCAACCTCAGGAAAGGCTCTCTCTGATTTTATAAAGCTTTCGAAAGCTTTACCAAGCAACTCCCGCGCAATAATTTCAAGCTGTTTGGTAAATCGCATGCGCAGTACTAAACCGACTCCCAAGTGCGGCTGTCACATTTCCTCTCTCTGGCTGTTTTATAGTTTCAAACACGTCATGTGTGTGTATTCAGTTGAATACAGACGACTTTTATGCACTCCCGTTGTGGCTGTCGCACTCCCTGTCTGTGTACAACTAGTCGAAGTTCAGTGGGAATCGCACTCACGCACTAACCTGACATACACACACTCATCGAAGAGAGCGAATATGAGAGAGTATATGTATGTAGATTCCATTAAGGAGCAGAGTTTACCAAGATGTAGTATACTTTTCAGCGTTTTCCAATTCACATCAATTCAGCGTAGCATTGTTCATAAGTGAAGACTTTTTAAGTAGTAATCTTAATATAAAAATTGTATCGAAAGTGATTATAGATAGAAAAACGGCAGCAATATAATAAAATATTAACGACAACATTCATTCACTGAGACAAGACCAAATAAAAAAATTTACAATACAATACTGTATTAATGAAAGCCAAATCAACACGGCCGATTCAATTTAACCCGAATACGTATACACAATGTTATACATACTAATGTATTTACGTATATAAAACGTTTAATTGTGTCACATGATAGAATCCGCGAGCAAACGAAGAGAACATACATATATGTACATATATATCTACTTTCTGCACACATGTACACAAATTAGTAAAATATTTCAAATTTATGCTTCTCCAATATTATGATACCCAATTGCTTCTGCCAATAGGTTGTTGTTTTTGCCTTATGAGCACAAATGTAATTGTATGCTCATTCACGTATATGTATATGCGGTTTAAAGATATTTAAATTTTGACACTTTTATGCGGACATACCAGACATGAAAGGATCATGTCGTCCGAAGTAGGTTAATAGATGTTTTTTTCTTCACTTCGGTTTTTTTTTATGATTACACAAAAACACACAACGAGCTTTTCGAATGTAAACATTAACCAAAAGGACTTGTAGTAAATACAAACGGTCCTTTCCATTTCGAAATTAAAATGGATTGGTGTTTATAATGTCGTTTCGATCAAATCTTGTTGTTTTCATAAGTTTTGCCTTTGAGTTATCGGAATGAGAAGTAATTAGCGAAATAAGCGAAAATAAATATGTTCTTGTCAGCAAAATAATTCTTATTCCATTATTCATTAGAATATTGCATCTATTATATCTATCGCAATGAAACCGAAATGTTTGTAATAATAAGCTGTAAAAAATCGACTCGAGCGATCGGCCTTAATACCATAAACTAATCATGGCGCCGGCATTTAAACAATAAATTGTATGTCACCAAACACAATCAATGGAACACAGCTGTGCAGCAGCTGACAATTGGTATCGAGTAGGGGTGAAAACATTTCGAAATCATTTTGGACTCACTCGGAATTAAAAACAGCTAGACGAAAATGAGTCGAAATGTGCTGAAATTTTCTTTTCAAACCGAATCAGTTTTTGGTCTCGCGCTTAGGGTCTTCTGAAAAGGAGTAACACTTTTTTCATTCTATGTACAAGGTATTATTGAAAAGGTATCTTGTTGATTACGATTGATTGGTGGATTGGATTGATTGATGACACTTGGCGCAGATTATTTAAAGGGTATATCGTCAATTTAAAGTATTTACCTCGACATTTTTGGTATGTATATATGCATTATGATTCTGGTGAAGTGTGTTTCTTGAAAGTACAAAATATTTAGCAAGCAGCTGGCGTTTAAAAAGAGCCATTCCGATCGACGTGATGTCTATGGATCCGTCACCATCAACATCTCCTAGGCCAGCATCCAATTTTGAGCCGGCCTTTGGAGAATCCATGTGTACGGAATTATTGCCAGCAGCGACCTTTGTGGAAAAACACACGGAGGAACAGGGAATCCAATCAAATTTTGCGATTCCTTCGGCTACTTCGTCATTGCATCTAAGTGGAGCTGAATCCAAAATTGATTTACAGTCGGTGACGCAGTCGCAGTCTTACAGCGTTGCCGCAAATGCCCTTTACAGTCAATTTAAGATCAAACAGCAACTTAAGCATCAACTGGAGTCACAGCAGGCACAGGCACAGGCAAAGGCACTGGCGACAGCATCTTTGCAACACACGGAACTGCAGAGCCGACATCAGCAGCATCCCCTCCAGCAGTTTAAGCATCTACAGCAGCCACAGTCACAGTCACAGACACTGGCGAAAACTTCCTTGCAACACACGGAGCTTCAGAGTCGACATCACCAGCAGCATCCTCTCCAGCATTCGCAAAAGAATTTGCAGCAGCAACAGGCCAAGTGCTTTACGCCACGGGCACTTAATAAATCTCAATTGAGTTTAGCCAGCGATAGCATGTCGATGTCCATGTCCAGATCCAACCTGAATAACGGCAGCATGGCGTCCATTAGAAGCGAACAGCAACTGTGCCAGCTGTACAATTCGCAGCAGCACTCGGACTATATTATATCCGATTATATGGATAAGATAGCGACGCGCATTAGTTTGCTTGAGACAGAGCTGAAGTTTGCTTGGCGAGCGCTTGACTTACTCTCCAATGAGTACGGTAAGATTTGGACAAGGCTAGAAAAATTGGAGAACATATCCGTGGAGCAGCAGTCAGTGATGGGCAATCTAATGGGTCTCATCGCTGCGGCAAAGCAACAACAAGAACAGCAACAAGTTGACTTAGATGCCAATTCTCCGTTCGCTTCGTTTTTGGTAGAAAATCAACTTTTACCCATGGAACTGGAATTGGATGCCAATATTGATATCTTGGAGCCAAAGTCCCAAAAGCAAGATTTTCGCCATATACTAGAGGAATTGAAACACTGTCAGGAAGCGGAAAATCAAATGAGCAGCTTGGAGTTAATTATGGATGGCCATGAGCAAGGACATACCATTCCTGGCGACTTGTATTTGGATGAAGCAACTTATGTCTTGGACACGGATAATAATAGCGATGACCTGTTTTTGCAGTACAACAACGGATCGTCAGGGATTAACTTAAAGGAAAGTGGCGCGGAACTGGCTAGGGATGATAAGCAACTCGATATAGAACAACATGAGTGCTCGTGGCTGAAGAATGTAGTTGGCGATGCAGATGGTTTTAGCGCACATCAGAAACGAACCCGAGGGAAGCTTTATTCCGAATCGGATTTACTAATGTACGAGCAGCAACAGATTATGGCGAACAATGCCCGTGCTGAATTATTGCAGGAGTTTTTGAATGGACAGCGGGTGCTCGAACAAGTGGCTTCCGCTTCCGCTGGTACTTCAGTTCACGGTAGTCTACGTAATGTTCGGTCAATACGAGGACAAGAAATGGGACAGAAAGCATCTGATACAAATGCCTTGACTTCTTCCAAGGAACTCGACGAACTAACCGAAGATGTGCAGTTTTTTCGGTTAGCCGCCGTTAAAACCGGTCAAGGAGGGAACGAAATTGATCCTATTGAAGATACCGGAGGGACAAATTTAAATTTGCAGCCGGAAGCGACAGATGATGGTGAAATGAACGAAAATTTCTACAAAAATCTTAACGAAGCGTATCGAGAAAATAATTTGACATCAGAAATATCCAATATGGAGCGCCTGCTACAGCAGGCGAAAATTACTCACGAGCATATGACGGGCTTGCCCTTAAATACTGGCCAATCGACATCTTCTCTGATGATGATCCTTAAGGGAAAAGAGGAGGAGATGAAAAATTTAGATTTTAACCAAACTACAGAATGTACTACATCTGCTGATAAATCAATTGAAGGAATACAGAGACATGCAGCCAAGGCACGTGATTCCGCAGCTTTGGAGAGCACATATAAGGGTAAAGAGTCACGAAAACATCGAAAAAAGAAACATCATAAGAACGAAATGGATATGATCAACAATTTGAAAAGCATACTTGCCCAGGCATCTAGTACTACAGATAACCCAACTATTGATTATGCCAAGTCTTGTCATCCGCTGTCAAATAAGCAGGGAGGTAATTTTTCCACCGATCCGAGTACCAATCGCTTAACACAAGCGCAATCCGATAGAGACAATCGACGGTCAACAAACTCCTCATCTTCGGAAGATGCCGGCAGTCTTAATGACCGAAATATTGCTATTCTAGATTGCATGACTGACGTTATAATAAGAGAAATAAATAAAATAGGCGACTTACAATCATTATCTGCATCTCAAATCCTTAAGCTCCGGCAGACAATTAGATCTGAGCAGACATTTTTTGAGAAACTCAATCAGGTTGACAAGAATCTAACACTTTTGTTATTAAATCCTGTCACTATGGCTGAAGAGCTGCGACGTCTGCGCGTCCTGGAAGTGGATGAAAAGTTTGATCTTGTCATGAAGAAATTTGATAAGAATATCGATACTCTAAAGAAGTTAGTCGGCAATTCGTTTGAAGAATACAAAATAACAAATACCAAATATATAAATACCACAAGTACAAGTACAAGCACAAGTACAACTTCAAGTACAAGTACAAATATCCCACAGCATTTAATTCACCGAAACAATAGCCAAGTTAACTTGAGAGAATCTTCTAAGACAAATGAATATAGTGCCCACCTGCTACGCAATAACTCAGATCTAGATGAGCAATTGAAACTGTTGGAGACTCAAGAGATTGAAATAAATCGCAAAAAAAATATTGAAAAAATAACAAAGAGACGTAAACTGGATTCTCATGATAATTTTATAGGCGTAGAGAGCGAATATAGTCACGTTCATCAACCCACCAGTCGGAGTGTCAGTCCCCAAATATTGGTAAGTCCAGGACAAAGGCAAAGTCTAAGCATTGTTGAGAAAGCCTCGAGCTCAACAAATATTTACAATCAGGATGAGTACATTAGATCCTTAAAGAAAAGTCTTGAACGCCACAATAGTATGCTGTTTCTGTTACACCTTCAAAATCCAGAGAAACACAAAGCATCCGCTGACTTGGATGACATTCTACTGGGGCCTACTGGAACAAGTCCTCCACCACCAGCTCCCAATGACAACGGATTCGAGGATATATTAGACATATCTGTTAATCCGTTTAGTGCAGAAACGCATGTAGAACAGATTTTACAACAACAACCACAACAACAACAACCACAGCCTCTCAAATCGCCGTCACGGCAGGCCAAGTCAGACTCTGGGCTATCTTCAATGAGTGGCTGGTCACCAAATTCACCCGGATCCGTGCCTCTAAATATTCATAATGGAAGCTCAACTTTTAACAAATACAATGATATTACCATGGAAATGATTCAGATGATGCTGGACTTGCAAGCGGGTCCAGACGTAAACTCCAAAAGCGCTCTAATCGCCGATAAAGTAATCAATATTGATGCTGAGTCAAACATCAATATATTCCAGGAGCAACAGCAAAATCAACAGTCTGAAATGGGCAGTGACTATATATTTTCGGAAGAAAATCTTAATTATATACATGAGCTATCGAAAAATATTCCGATTTGTTCAGCATATGAAAATAAATCTATGTTTAATGTGCTGCCATCCGAGGCAAACCCAAATGACAATGAAACCATTTGCACAATTGATGAAATGCTAGAATGGGATCAACAACAGCTCGAAGCATCGTCTCAGGTACAGCAAAGCGCTGATCGATTTTTGGACAGTATAAATATGAATTCAAAAACAACGATTAGTACAAATCGCATACCGGATATTTTGAAGAATGAAATACCACAAAGCCTATCTGTGAAACTGGATGAATCGACAAGAGATTTGTCGGCGAGTGGTAATGCGCAATCAGGTCAGCTACGTATGTCCAAGCTATCTGGTTATCTGGAAACTGATATTGATCAAACTCGTAAGCCTCACTTAACAGATCGACTCGTTTATTATCCTACATTCAACGGCATCGCCGACTATAACAGCAGCAATAATTTAGACTATATGGGCTTTGAACAGTACGAACGTTTCCGCCAACCAAATTTAGAAGGGCCGTGCAATAGGCCATCGGCTCATCAACAATTTGTGAATTCTTATCCAACTAAGAAGAAATTTCAGTCTACAAATCAATCATCGGCCAATGCCTATAGCAACGGTAACCAGCAAATCCGGGATATGCCAGCTATGCAGCCAGTCGAATCGAAACACACACCCAAGGTGTGGAACAAGCTTACCAACCTACTACCGGGTAATTTGAAATTGAAGCGATCGATAAGGTACAACCGATCCCACTCCTTACCCAGTGGGGATGTGCAGGCAAAGGGCTCACAGATGCAAGTGCGTGGCCAGGCAGGCTCGTATCCGTTTGTTACAGCCTCTGCTCACATACGGTCCCACGGCAGCGTTCATAGTAGTTTTGAGCTATCGAAACGTATTCAAAAGTTGCCGATGCGAATAATACAACGAGCTACGTCTACCCCTTCAGAGCGGAGTTCGCCAGATTGTTCGAATCCAGTTCGAACTCATAAGCAAAAGAAACGCTCGTTTTCGACAAAAATGAATAGTTTAATGCAGAAGGCAAAATCGTATAAGCGGCACAGCTTTGGCCTGCGCCACGGATCTAGCATCTCAGATACCGAAATAGATATCCCAAACTTTACATCCTCCGACAATGATGACTCGGCGACCAGCGAGTTTGAAACCAATCAGCAGTTGGCAGTCCAAGACTTGTCGGTCCACTCTGATAACGATGATAACTTCGACCCTACTAAAGTAACCGAAAATCGGGACGATAATTATTATGAAGACACGCCCGATAGTAGTTTGCAAGTAAATCTGGCGAATAATTTATTCGCCGTTGTCGGTGACCTAAAGAGAATACAGGCGACAACAGACGCTTCGCCATCAATGCCGATGCCGATGCCCATGCCTGTGCCCATGCCCATGCCCATGCCCGTGCCCGTCTCAACGGTGGACGATCTTCAGTTGGATCAGACATTCGAGTCAATGCAACAATTCAACAACTCTGACCAAGTTCCAGAAATATTTGTTGAAACCAATGAAATTTCTAACACTCAAACGCCCCATGAGACTAGCATGCCACACGCATTTCAAGGCATTTCAAATTTTGTACAAAAATCCAACGTAGTTTATGAGGATGACAAGGAGTGCAGTGTGAAGTCTGCAGAAATAATCCCAACTACAACGAGCACCACGATGACCCAATTAAATGGGCTGCCGCAGCTTGGGCGGGGAACAGTTTTGGCCACACAACAATCTTTAGACATTCCAAACAGTCTCTGCTATGGTTTGAGGGATGACGATGACAATCGCAGTCAACATTCCGGGCGCACACTCTCGTCGTCACGACGTCAGAGCACTGAGGACAGCATTGACACGGACGACGAGTACTTTTGCTACGAATTGCGCCAACTTGAGGAACTTGAACAACAGCGCACTGAGGCCCAAGCAGCGGCAGCGGCAGCAGCAGCAACAGCGGCAGACCCGGATTGCTTTGAGCAGCATCCTGACAACGATGTGCTATTTACGCAGATTGGTCAGTTAGCCATGAGTGGTGCTGAGGGCGACAGCATTTATTATCCGGATTCGGAAAAGTATTTACTTGCTCAGACCGACTATGTACCGGATGATAGCGTTAAGCACAAGATGTCTCAGGTGCTGAACGAGCTCAGGTGCGTAGTTAAGCTGGAACCCGATATGGGCTATCGCGCAACTAATGCGAATGATGTCATTAACGTGCCTGGCATCGCTGACGTCACTAATGCTACTGAGGGCAGGGAATTTGAATTACTGGGCAAGCAAAAACATTCGCTTGGTGGTGAAAAGTTGGTTAAAGTCTTGGATATGCATAGCGCTTGGCAGGATGTTAATAACGAATATCAGCTACCAAGCTCCGATCTGGAGATGAACGGATCTGCCAAAGATGCTCACAAGGAGCTACTAGTGCTCCAAGACTCACAAAACATCGACCAAGCATCGACATTACATCAGCCGTCAACTCTCCCAGCTGTAGATGCATCGGTGTCGGAAAAACAACTCAAACGCTTCAAAAAGAAAAGGCGCGAAAGGGGAAAGGGGGCAAATCCTCGTGCAGCCGAACATGACATCGTTCCTATCGACTCGCAACTGGCATTAAGTTCCTCATACTCGTCTGAGGATGAATACGAGTACAAACAAAAACTGAGGTCCTCTGGCGGAAACGGATTAAAAGCCTTGCTCGATCGGCGGGCTCATGATGCTGCATTGCAGGACGAGCAACCCATCGAATCGGACATCGTGCACGAGTCTTCCAGTGTCACATCAGGGCCTGATACGCCAGCTGCACTAAGTGATGATGTGGACTTGGTTGACGACGAAATAGTAGACGATCTGTCCTTGAGTAAAAATGCATTTACAGGTCATAAAGAAAATGCTGTGCATGGAGCCGATTTAAGGGATCCACGCAACAGCTTAACGGGCGAAGTATCTGGGCCGCATGGGCCAGTATATTTACCGACTGACAACTTTCGGACGCCCAATTCACCGGATGTGTTACCGACAGTTAACAACACTCCGCCTCCACCCCTTAAATTGACTAGCCAGGATTCGAGTGTTGAGGGGTCCCAGGCAGGTACTGTAAATAGCGCAGGGGTTAACTTAAGCAGCAGTAAGTGGAAGTTGCTGAAAACGTTGAAAGAGCGTAAAATCGAGGAAAAAAACAATCTGGACAAAATGAAGGAAGAAGAGTTGTCAAAAGATAAGGAGAAGGTAAATTGATGAATTTTCGTTCTTTTAGTTGACTTGTTACGATTGCTTTGAACCAATGTTTAAGCATATAATCTTTTTCTATTTTGTACAAAAAGATACTAAAAATAGAACGAAATCTGCTATATAAATCGTATTTAAGTTAAAACAAAAAGATAAAAACCATAGTTCTTAAGGTTCGATTCAGCATGATTATGCACATCTACGAACACAGGTTTCAGAATGTATCTTCTTGGTTTTGCCAATTTTTTAAGAATTTTTTTAATTTATATATCAAGAAAACACTACTTTTGAAATCCTAACCCCCCCTATCAGGGTATAATAAGTGGGTTTTAGTATATACAAACATGGTATATACAACATGGATTAAAATATTACTTTCCGTAAAAATGTCACAACCCATAGCCCTGTATGTTTTTTTTTTATTTTTGTTGATTTCGGGATAATTGAGCTGTTTTTAGGCAATACAAAATGTAAGTTCCGAGCTGTGAACGGAATTACTACTGTGATATAAGCATAGAAATAAACCATAATATATATTATCAATAGCTACAAGTAATAGAACATACCTTTATAGTTGAAGTTGAAACATTATTTTATTACAGAATGGTACCGGAACAGGTGATGTTAGCTTGCGTACCAATGGTCACCCGGGTGATAATCCGTTCTACAGTAATATTGACAGTATGCCCGACATTCGTCCAAGGCGTAAATCTATTCCCCTTGTCTCTGAACTGGTAAGTTTTATTGTTCACTTTATATGTTTGTATCTATTGTATGTATCTATTTCCTTTCTAACTTAATTTCCACTCTCCAATAATCGTCCTATTTTTTTGTCCATCAAATACACACACACGTACACACATACACATACAAATACACATACACATACAAACATGCACATACACATACACATACACATACACATACACATACACATACACATACACATACACATACACATACACATACACATACACATACACATACACATACACATACACATACACATACACATACACTTACACTTACACTTACACTTACACTTACACTTACACTTACACTTACACTTACACTTACACTTACACTTACACTTACACTTACACTTACACTTACACTTACACTTACACTTACACTTACACTTACACTTACACTTACACTTACACTTACACTTACACTTACACATACACATACATTTTTTACAATGTTAAACGTTTGTTTTCTTTTGTACGACGAAAATGATTTAATGGATTACAGGTGCTCAAGGTATAGAACGATTATCGAATTGTTACATTTTTCAATTAAGATTTTTTAAATACACCTCACATGTTTCTATGCAAAATGTTCAAACCTTTTTTCAATTTTAATTAGTATTCGCAAAGTTTTGCGTTTGTTTTTCAAATAGTAACTAGTTTACACATAATTATTCAGTAGGCAGCGTTAATAAAGTACAACCTATGCGTTCTTTTTAGAGATACGAGTTGTTTTAATTACGAATGATATCCGTAGTATTTATAATGTATTTTTACAGTTGTCCTAAATCTTAAGGGAAGTGAATTAGGTTCGGAAGTTTTAATATAGAATATAGTACAACGTTTAGTCAAGGTGGTTTAAAAAATAGTGTGAGGCTATGGTAGACTTTCCCCCATAGACCGTGGTCAAAGATACCAAGTACGGAATTCTTTACATTTTTTGTTGACCATTTTAGAATTTGTTATAAAAAGGTTATTAAATTTGAAGTATTAAAAAGAATGTGAGACCATGTTTATGATAATTTAGGCAGATGTTCCTTCCTGCTCCCAATGATGTTCAGTGATCTTAGTCTTATCGCTAAGCGTATCAAGACATTCTATCGATAGAGTATTATACCGGATTTTAATGTTGCATTATAGATTAAAAGGATAGAAAGTCAATACATTCCGGTTCTGATCATTGTAATTGTTGGTAACAATTTTTATTAGGTTACTACTACACCTAAGAACACCGTTTAATTGTGAAATAAACTTATTTTGTTATTAAATTTTACTGAACCATAGAAAACAATTTCCTAGATATGTGCATGCGAAATTCATTTTAATAATTTCCTGTCTTAAATAGTATAAATTTTTTTATTTATCTTTCACTATACGCTTTATGGTATTTCAAGTTCATTTATCTGCTATCATTAGTATATACTGTGCAGATTTAAGTTTTTATGCTTCGTTGTTACATAAGCTTCAGTTCATAGACATTTAGAAATACACGAATATTTATATATGTCGAGGACAGTATATGTATAAATATCTTTCTGAGGTAGAAAAATACGAAATGACAATGACATGATGAGAAATTAATCGAGAATATATATTAGGGCTCTGACATGTTTCTCATGCCTATGAAATGCTTAACATAAGTGTACTTTTTTTTATGAATTATATGGGCACTTCAAATGATTGATCCATAACTATTTACTTATATATTTGAATATAGTTCACATGCACTTTTACATTGCAGTTTAAGCACTTTGAACTTAGCATTACTTTTATAATGGAATTAATTTGTATAAGTCTAGTTAGTTTTGCTTTAAATTACAATAACCAATAAGCTTTCCACGAAGCTTACCTAGTTTTGATTGCTATTCACTACCAATTAACTCATGTTTCCCGAATTACTGTAAAAAAATAAAATTTTCTATTTGTAATATTTCTATTTCCAATTTTGTCGATATGTGTGAATATTTAGACAATGGCAGCCACGAAACGTAATGCCGGACTGACGTCGGCAGTTCCCCGAGCAACGCTTAATGATGAAGAACTGGTGAGAGAGTTCAAATAAACATAACATATATCCACTGAATATGAAGAGTTCCCATCTATCCTGCTATAATCGCAATGTATAATTTTTTTTTTTTGACTATTATACTCGATGTTTTTAGAAAATGCATGTCTACAAGAAGGCGCTGCAGGCACTTATCTACCCAATATCATCAACCACCCCACATAACTTTGTACTGTGGACGGCCACCTCCCCAACTTATTGCTATGAGTGCGAGGGCTTACTTTGGGGCATTGCTCGCCAGGGAGTGCGATGCACCGAGTGCGGCGTAAAGTGTCACGAAAAGTGCAAGGATCTACTTAATGCTGACTGTCTACAGCGTAAGTTATTAATCATTATATTATAATTTTTCAGTTTTCGGTGGTTTTCTGTTCGTGTTGCTGATATTTCGTTTACGTTGCACAGGTGCCGCTGAGAAGAGCTCCAAGCATGGTGCCGAAGATAAGGCTAATTCCATCATAACCGCCATGAAAGACCGCATGAAGCAACGGGAACGGGAAAAGCCAGAAATATTTGAATTGATCAGGTAATGTCTTGAGCTTAGCCCATTTGGCTGGTGCGGATATTCATACTGATCTATGTATGTTTATATATAAAAAGACGAGATTTTAAGGCTCTCTTTCATATAATATCTAGGGATCTGTTATCCGATATTGTGTGTATGGACAAGCACAAATACCTTTTTTCTTACCAATAATTATAGAATATTTGCCAATATTTATGTATTTTGCAAAAGCAATATGCTGGATGCTGCGTTATATATTATAATCAAAGCCGAAAACTTTAACTTTCTATACTGTACTATGCCCATACTACTATGTATATCTAGAGCCGTATTCAGCATTGAAGAGAAAAGCCATACTGGTCATATGAAGGCTGTGAAGCAAAGCGTCCTGGATGGAACCAGTAAATGGTCGGCAAAGATAGCAATCACAGGTTTGCAACTTAACAAAAATGTGCCTAACTGAATATGTCGTGCTTGAACATAATTTAACATTTTGAATTATACCTTACTAATCGTGAATATGAATGTATGTATTTGCAATTTCGATCGCATAATGTATGTAACGTAAATTATATATCCATATATATATATACATATATGTATATATACATATATATATATATATATATATATATATATATAAATTAATTAATGGTATGTATGCATGTATGAATGTTTGTAAACTTCTTTGTACACATACATACAAATTGCAACACATAATATACAAACATACAAGTGCATAAGATATATTAAATTAATAATACACTCTGCAAGAGTATAAATATGTTACACAAGTAATGTTAATAATATAAGAAGATTTCTATTGAGGTATTCACAATAGCTCGCAAAGCTACATAAACATTCTTTGTGATTGGAACAAGGTTATATTATGTGTTTATTGACATATAGCGCTATTTTTGAAGCCCAAGTCTACTTTGTATAGCTATGCAGGGATATATCTTTCATGTATTTATTCCGTGCAGATTATTCAAACATATATGTACATTTGTATTTTTGTAAAGTATTCATATTAATTACATATTGTGGTATTAAATGGTGCTTCCGTCAGTCTTATCATTTGTTAATCAAAAATATCTATATGTGTTACATTACTTTATTGATAGTGTAAGTACTTATAAAAGCATATGTATTCTGTACATAAATATATAGAATAAGAACACTTTGAAGACATCATTTAAAGGACAACTCAGGACAATGGACTTGCCCAAAGGCAGGCTTTACATGGAATTCTTCACACTATATAGACATAAAAAGTTTCTGAGTTAAGAGAGTAGTTTCCTGAGAATTCAGAGAACTCTCAGTCTACTATAGTAGTCGCATTCTTAAATGAAAACAAATGTACCATTCATGTTGTGGTGCTTTAGTTAGTAACTGCAATGAAACTTATTTTGTTCCCATTTTTATAATGCCTATCACTTGGTTTTTATCCGTTCATACTTATAGACCATATCTAAGTAGACTATGGATGATTATTAGCGCACCAGCCTAGCCCAAATTAAGTCGAAAATATTACATCTTTAGTGCTAAATTATTGAATGGTTGCAATATATATAGTTCTTATCACACATATATGCATATCAATTCAATTCAAGGATGACATTCGGTGTGGATCCAGATACACACATAGATTCGTTAGAACAGGCTGAGCACGCAACTGTTGAGGGAACATCTAAATGGTCATGCAAACTAACAATTACAGGTACACAGGCAATACCAATTGGAATTTGCGATTATTTATAATTTATATACAGTTTTCCGTACTCTGTACCCAAAATAACGGACAATGAAAATCAGGGTATTAATCAGGGTGTGGGAATGGACTTAACAGATTAATTGGACTCCAAGGTCGATCCATTTTTTGTCTGATCACCTAGCTAATAGAACTCTTACAAATATATGTACATGCTTTGCCGATTAATATTTGTCTTAAATTTTAAATAACTTGCACTTTTGAATATTTTAGAAACTAATATTTTGGATACCATTTATATTTGCAAAAATAGTATATTGATCTAGTAGTTAACGTAAAAGCTTGTCAAGGCAAATGTGATATTATAGAATTGGGTACAGAGTAATTTCGTGTCGAGTGCTGTCGACTAGATTCTGTTTTCTTGTTTATATATAATTTTTAGTACTTTTTGAGCGGTTTCATATTCCAATACGGATCCACTTTAATAATATCTTTAATATCCTCCACCATTGCAAAGTTAACAAGGTTAAATTAAAATGGTTTAATTGCTACATTACATATTACCTACCCTATTTATTCAGATTATAAACCTATAAATAGGAAAGCTTTCGTCTTGCAGCATGAGTCCCCAACATCGTTGATAACCATGTCATACAATATAGAATTCAATTGAATAAAAGTTAAAGAAACTAAGTTAAGTTGCACCAATAACGGTGACAAAAGAAGTCATTCGGAGAAACTGAATTAATAGGATTTTAAAACATAGGTTGATAAGTTATGAATTTGAACTAAAATCTGATAAAGAATTACTCAGTATTTTTTGAAAGAAGCGATTCAAAAATAAATTAAAATTCGTTGGAAACTCCACTTTATAAACCAGTTGTAAACCTTTTATATATTTTCTAAAAATGAATACTCTGCACTATTTACTTATATATATATCCTCATTTGCAGCAAAGTTCAATTTAAGGGGCGTAGAACACTTACTAATATATCTAAAATAGGTTTTTTTTATCTTATAAATATCTTTACTGTATATAATTCATATACACATTTTAATGCAAATAATTTTTACAAATTATAAAAAGAATATTTTTTTTATTTGCTTTTTGATATTGATACAAACATATCACCATTATCAGTCAAAATAACAATATTTTGCAAACCGGACTTCAATACTGAAACAGAGAAATACTTCATTGAAATTCAAATGGTTTTTATGCATCCCTTTCAGATGTTTCTTTCATAGTTACGCATAAAACTTAACAAAATGTATTCTTACAAATTGCTGATATATTTAAATTTAAGTTGGTCAGTCCGGTATTTTTAAAACAGGGCATAATATTTTTTGGAAATTGAGTTGTTAAACTAACTAATTAAGTTAATTACTCTTATTTCAATTTAACCGGTTGCAGAAGCGCAGAGGGCTAAGCGCCTGCCTTTTGAGCGTGAAGTTTAGGCAGGGAGGAGCATTAAAATGCAATGTCTTTAATTTGTGGCACAATCCAATGTAACATTATAGTCATGCAACTCTGACTATAGCGCTCCCACTTGTTAAATTCTATCCTACCTATCTAAATTGTGTGAATAAATAATTTCTAAATAACGTACAACTTTTGCTAAAACAGGTCTAACGTTTGCGTTAATTCAGTATATGCATGCCAGTCATTCAAATATATTTTATGTGTGTCGGTCTATGGATCCATAAAATGACTCCCCTTTAGTTTACACATTCTGTGAAGCAGTAGAGCCTAAAGCTTACTTAAGTTGCACAAATAACCAATAAATTAAGCAGTGTCATTCAGCATCCTGTCATCCTGAATTACATTATACTATTATGTTTTACCTTTGATTCCAACTAAGGATATCCTCATTGCTTCTCTACTACTAAATTGCTTTTGTCTCAGTCTCTTACTCTATCCCTGTACATCCTCTATTTCTGACTTTAACATTGAAGAAAGACTTTCAAACGAACTTAATATGTAATATACTTCTCTGTTTATTTTAAATAAAGCAGCCATGGTTTTTTATTTATATATATTATGAAAATTTGTGGTATATACACACATTTGAATGTCATTTATTTATATCGAAGACTTCAAAACCAAAATTAAATACATTTTGTAGTCGAGCACACTCGATTAGAGCGCTCATAATTATTTTGTATAGAGATTTTATATATTTAGCAGCAGGGTTGTGTCAAATACCGTTTGGGTTTTACGAAAGGTTTAAATATATATTGTAATTTAATCTTTGGTCTTTGCAATGGAGCTGTCCTGAACAATGATGTACATAGTCTCTATCTGTTTGCTTTTGCAACCATCAGCCAGAGCACCCTATAACACATATAACGTGCACAAAACCAACCCAAGCCTGCTCGATCCTGCCTTTACCTTTCTAGCAAACAAAAAATACAATAAGCAATATGTACTCTGTACTCTATCACACTCGATATTCTTCAATTGATCTATCAACTTGTGATCAGTAACCAGCTCAATCGTATACATATGTATGTATGAATATTCATATTGCACGTTTAGAATGTTATTCGAATCTTTTGATATAAGTTGATTTGAGGTTTTTTTTTGCAGACTGCTCTTTGGAGCTCAGAGAAAAAATTTTTAAGTTCTATTTAAATACTACATTTTATTATCAGATTTCTTCTGTGCACAGCATACGTACGTATGTACGTGCATAGGTGTCAAACGCACGTTTACACCTTCTCTGATAATTTTTGTTTTTCGTTGTTTATTGCTTTAATTTGTTAGTTGTCCACTTTGTTGTTAATGCGTAAATGTGTTTGTACATAAAAATAAAAAGAGTTTTCACACGATATTTGTGCCGTTGCATTTTTTTAGCTTACCACGTAATAAAAGTGATCTTGGGCAGTGTCAGTAAATGCGACTGCCTGAACATTTTTATTGCTAGATGTTTAAAGAAGGTCATTTAATAAAAAACAAACTTCCGTTTTTTTCTTCTTCTTTCTTCCTTGATTAACAAAACTGAACAACAACAAATCAAATCAAACCAAATCTAATCAATTCAAATAAAAATAATAATAAAATTTACAATTGGAAACGTATATTGAAATATACAAAAAACAAATATCAAAACGGTTATATTCGTTTCAAACCCCAATAAAAACCCACAAATACACCAAACTCGAAATACTTGAACATAATCCACAAACCCAAAATAACACTAATACCCACAACAACAATACACTTACGTTACTTTCCTCTTCACGATCGTCGGTGATAACAATACCCGATCGGAATAATTATTACAATCATCTGAACTTTTTTGGGGTTCTGGTTGAAACGAATGAATATGCCAAAAAAAATATATAATCAACCGATCCGATGAACTGTGCAGTGATTTGTGCTCAAGGCCTGATAGCGAAGGATAAAAGCGGTACGAGTGATCCATATGTGACGGTGCAAGTTAGCAAGGTGAAAAAACGAACGCGCACAATGCCCCAGGAGCTAAACCCTGTGTGGAACGAGAAGTTTCACTTGTGAGTATTTTCAATGTTTCTTCTTCCGCTTTCTTTGTGTTCTATCTGTATATATGTATTTGAATGTATGTAATTCGTATACGTACTTATACGTTCACTTTAGCCCACAATCTCGACTATTGTTTGTACACCCACACGAATAGTACTTATAACACGCACTCTTTCTCTGTTCTCTACTAACTATATATATATATATATTTATACATATTAAATAAATTATTATATATAGTATATAAATATATATATATATATATATTTATATAATAATTTATATAATTATCGCTCTGGTCTTGACCCATCGATTTCTTGCTATTTCTTTTTCTGTGTATGTGTGTTCAAATACATACATACATGTGTGTGTGTGTGGACGCGTACTTCTCTTTCAGCTTTTTGCCTCACTTGAGAGCCATCAAATTTTAGTTACACTCTTGCCCTTTTATTACATGCATGCATACATTAATAGGATCCATAAATTCGTATGTAACTGCTCTGTGCTTGAGAGCTGAGCATCTGACAGCGGCTGTGGTTCTTCTGTTTTATTGTTTGATATATATATCAAATACGGAAAGAAAACACTTAATTATGATTCTCATAAAATGGAGAAATGGTGTACTCAAATCTATTGGAAAAAACATGTAACTGTGTGTCTTCAGCTTTTATAATCTCCTAGATGTGATTAACCTAGATAGAATGGATATCTTCGGCACACCGAAGATAAAGAATCTTTGTAAAGAGAATTCTAAAGCTGCAATTGCTGAGTTTGGTGAAGATACCTTGACAAACAGTCATTTGTTACAAGAAATTAATTTACGACCGCTCCTATGACATCTGTATGATAGGTTGGTATTATGTATAGAAGGCCTGGGATTCGATATATATTAATTTCTATTAAATGAGAAGGGTATCTAAAGAAACGTGTAGCGTATATTGTAGCTTTGTGTATCCCTGAAGATTTTTGATTGCATTGAATATTTGGCACTGGTACAGGGTAGTAAAAAGCATGTGTGCGCCAAAGACTCTGTGGAGTCGATCAGGCTTTTCTACTTCTAATAGGCTCAGTTTTTGAAAAGTTTTAAGTTTATTGGTGAGATTTTATATATATGTTTGTATGAGTAAATATTTCACCCTCAATTCCTCATGTTTTGTGGTTTATATATTAATAACTAACTAACAACATTAATGAGTGGTACATAAGAATGTACGTATAGTGGTTATCAAAATACTTTTGTATCTGTGAGCGTTTTTATAAACGTATAATATGCAAATATGTAACATGTCGCTGTTCGATATGCTTAATTATTTTGTGAGTTATGCAGATTTTTACCAAATAAACTTGTAAGTATTCTCTCAAGTGATAAAAATACATGAAATTTTAAATTTCGATGATCTCGTTAGAATCATCTTTACATCTGTCAAAATAATAATACACTATGCAGGGGTATAAAAATAATGAACGGAGGAATAATGAAACGGATAATGAACGGAGGAATTTGCTTTAGTGCTTTCAATGAAAAAATTGCGAAACCCCAAAATGCAAATAATAGTGAAAAATTAGATGCAATAAGCAATGTCTCCAAAATATTGTTTTTTTTTTTAACACCCGATTATTTCCTTGTATTCCATACAACACATTGCACAGAATTTCGTAATTGACTTCATAACTATATTGCTCTGGGAATTCGTTTCGAGTTTTTGTCCATGCATGTTAATGTCTTTACACAGCTATATGAAGCTAATCTTAGATGCACACATGCCTTTGATGTTAACGAATTTTTTAGCATTCTTATCATATATATGATATATATATATATATATATATATATACATACATATATTTATGTATATACATATATATACACATATGCGTATACGTATAAAAATAATTCATGGGATGTGCAGCGAATGCCACAACTCTTCAGATCGTATCAAAGTTCGTGTGTGGGATGAGGACAACGATCTTAAGTCAAAACTGCGACAAAAGCTGACGCGCGAATCAGATGATTTCCTAGGGCAGACCATAATTGAAGTTCGAACGCTGTCCGGAGAAATGGACGTGTGGTACAATTTGGAGAAGCGTACCGACAAGTCGGCTGTGTCGGGGGCTATTCGACTACACATTTCCGTTGAGATAAAGGGCGAGGAGAAGGTTGCACCCTACCATGTACAGTACACTTGCCTGCATGAGAACCTCTTTCATTACTTATGTGAAGAGAATAGCGGCATGGTAAGCGATTGCCTTTTGCGAGATCGGGTAGCGTCTAATAAAAAATATTGGCTTAAATATATGTATATAAACGTTTAGGTCAAGCTACCTATACAAAAAGGAGATGACGCCTGGAAGCTGTACTTTGATGAAATTCCTGAAGAAATTGTTGATGAATTCTCTATGCGTTATGGCATCGAGAATATTTATCAAGCAATGACACATTTTCATTGCCTCTCCGCAAAGTATCTGTGCCCAGGAGTGCCGGCCGTGATGAGCACCTTATTGGCGAATATTAACGCATATTATGCACACACAACTGCATCTTCAGCTGTTTCAGCCAGTGATCGATTTGCAGCGAGTAACTTTGGAGTACGTATTCTTGTAATTTTATGATATAATTTTTGTTTTCTAACCGCTTACAATTTTATCATACATTACAATTTCTATTTGCAGAAGGAGAAATTTGTGAAATTGCTAGATCAGCTGCACAACTCGCTAAGAATCGATCTCTCAATGTATAGAAATAACTTTCCCGCTTCAAGTCAAGAAAAACTTATGGATCTCAAGTCGACAGTTGACCTCCTGACCAGTATTACATTTTTCCGCATGAAGGTGTGTAGATAATCTATTATATTCAGTTTGAAATTCTTATTTAGTATACCAGATGAACAGTCAATGTCAATGAAGAATTTATTATTCAACAGGTTCAAGAGCTGTCCAGTCCACCAAGAGCAAGTACAGTTGTCAAGGATTGCGTAAAAGCTTGTCTTAGATCCACCTATCAATTCCTTTTTGAAAACTGTTACGAGCTCTACAACAGGGAGTTTCAGGTAAGATCTAGCTATTTAATTTTGCCATTGGCTTAAAAATCTTTGTTTTCTCAGGTGGATCCAAACGAGACGAAACGTGATACCGATGACCATGGCCCAAAACTAGACAGTGTAGACTTCTGGCATAAACTTATCGCATTAATTGTTTCTGTTATTGATGAAGACAAAAACAGTTATGGAACAGTGCTCAATCAATTCCCCCAGGAACTGAATATTGGACAGGTATGTTGCTCAAATCGATGCCTCGGCCTTTAAAGATTTTAGCATGAATTATTAGTCTAAGTAAACCTCAATTTGCAATTAATAATATTTGTTCGTTCCAACAATAGCTATCAGCTGCTACTATGTGGGGTCTTTTTGCCGTAGACATGAAGTATGCGCTTGAAGAGCATGAGCAGCATAGACTTTGCAAGTCATCTGCATATATGAACTTGCATTTTCGTGTTAAATGGCTATACAGTAATTATGTTAAGGAGGTGCCGCCATATAAAGGAGCTGTTCCTGAGTATCCAGCCTGGTTTGAGCCTTTCGTAATGCAATGGCTGAATGAGAACGATGATGTGTCGTTAGAATATCTTCATGGTGCGTTTAACCGTGACAAAAAGGATGGGGTAAGTTCACCTTAACTATATTATTCGGCAAAGTGCATTCGGCATGCCGAATATAGAATTAGCAGAATTATATTTTAGGGCTTGCAATTATGTGGGAAATATAATGAAACTCTTAATTTCTTAGGTCTTATCCGGCTTTCCCCGTGGCAGCTTTTTGCTTCAAGTTTAAATATCACTTCTTCACCCATTTCCAGCCCGTGGAAATTATGCTTTCTATTCCAAGATATTTAACATAGAAAAAACACTCAAAAATGAGATTGAGAATGAAGCCTATCAAATTAAGATCTAAAAGTTGGTAAATGTAGGTTCTTGGGCCCGTATTTTCCATTTAAGAGGCTTGAAAACATATATATATTTTATAGGATCGGTGGAACTTCCATCTGTCTGTTATTTGAATTTTTGTTATGATTTTTTTATCCATTCGATGCTTTCAATGGTGACAAATATGTAGTTGTATAGTTTGGGCCCAAGAAAAAAACATTTCAGCCCATTATTTTAGGTTCTTCTAAGAATGTTTAAAAATGCCGGGCGGACTTATCTACATGTATGAATTATTAATGTACATATGTTTTCTTTCTTATTTTTCCAAGTTTTGGTTTAATCTTCGTGAGTTTACGATATTAACGATCCAAAATGTACTTTTATGAGTCTCCTATTCCATTTTCATTCTATCCAATCAGTTCCAAAAAAGCAGCGAACATGCTTTGTTCTCGAATTCTGTAGTCGACGTTTTCACACAACTGACGCAATGTTTCGATGTTGTTAGCAAGCTCGAGTGTCCAGATCCAGAAATTTGGAAACGTTACATGAGGCGTTTTGCTAAAACAATCGTAAAAGTGCTAATTGCCTATGCTGATATTGTGAAAATGGAGTTTCCAGAGCATATGAGGGACGAACGAATTGTAAGTACATTACTATCGACTAGATGGTCTTGCTGGACGGTAAACTCTTCAGATAAGCATTTTGTTGGCCTTTGTAACGAATCTGTTGTCATTACATGTATACGCATATTGTTTTATATTTAATTATATATGTATGTCTTTAATTTACCTCACACTTTATCATAGGCCTGTATTTTAATGAACAACATACAGCAGCTGAGAGTTCAATTGGAGAAAATGTTTGAGTCTATGGGAGGTGATAAGCTGGAGGAGGACGCAGCCAACATCCTTAAAGAACTTCAGCAGAACCTTAACTCGGCTCTGGACGATTTAGCTTCACAGTTTGCTATAAGGTTGACTGCCTACCATTTTATTTTGCTATTTTAACTGTTTAAATACCTTTAATGATTCTTCCATAGCTTGGAACCACGTATAACACAGTCGGTGCGAGAGCTTGGTGACATGCTGCTTTCGATCAAGGGAGGTGGCGGAAGCCTCACAGCCGGAAATCAGGCAGTACAACGGAATGCCGTTGCCGTTGAAGCCGACGATGTGCTAAGACCGTTAATGGACTTACTTGATGGTTCCCTAACCTTGTATGCCCAGTCCTGTGAAAAGACAGTGCTGAAACGTTTGCTCAAAGAACTTTGGAAAATAGTTATGCGAATTTTGGAAAAAACAATTGTCCTGCCACCAATGACTGACAAAACTGTAGGTTGAAAATGTGTTACAATGAAAAATTATATTTCATTAGAATATATTTATATATACATAGATGATGTTCAAACATCTTACTGATAATGCAAAGAATTTGGCTTCAAATGCAAAAATAGAAGACATGGGCCGCTTGTTCAAGTCGCATATGGCAGGAAAACAGGACGTTAAAAGTGCTCTTAGCGGTGTTATGGACATATCAAAAGAAGTTGAAAAGAACCTATCCCCCAAACAATGTGCCGTTCTAGATGTTGCCTTAGATACAATAAAACAATACTTCCATGCCGGTGGTAATGGACTGAAAAAGACGTTTCTAGAAAAGTCATCGGAGTTGCAGAGTTTACGGTATGCACTTAGCTTGTATACACAAATGACAGATACCCTTATTAAAACCTTCATTTCGAGTCAAGTGCACGAAGGTAAGTCCAGCCACTGGTGAGGTCAAAGTGTATAATAAATGCTATTTTTTTTACATAATAAGTTGACCCGGAAAACGCCGAAGAGAGTGTTGGTGAAATCTCAGTGCAAATAGACCTATTTTCACATCCTGGCACGGGAGAGCATAAAGTCAACGTTAAAGGTAAATCTAAGTATCTTATACATATCTTTAGTTTTTACTTTTTTATTAACAAATATTTAAATTTTTATGTACTACATCAGTCGTCGCTGCCAATGATCTAAAATGGCAAATACCATCTGGTATGTTCAGACCATTTGTGGAGATCAATCTAATCGGACCGCACCTTCAGGACAAAAAGAGAAAATTTGCGACTAAATCAAAGTCAAATAACTGGTCTCCCAAGTACAACGAATCGTTTAGCTTGTAAGTAGACTTATTTTTGCTGGACGCATCTCATGAAAAGCTTTCTTAGGTTACAAAGGTACATATATTCATATTATATATTGTTGTATATATTTTAGCGCCATTGGTAATGAGGAGCAACTTGATTTCTTTGAGCTACACATCTGCGTTAAGGACTATTGCTTCGCCAGAGACGATCGTCTTGTGGGAGTTGCAGTTATACCTTTAAAGGATATATCTGAAAAGGTCAAGTGAATATGGTATTTAAATATGTCTCTATTCACAATTTTAAAAATGTTTCTTTATAATAGGGATCGGTCGCATGTTGGTTGCCGTTACAGCGCCGCATCGAAATGGACGAGACTGGTTGGACCATTCTAAGAATACTATCGCAGCGCAATAACGACGAAGTCGCCAAGGAATTTGTTAAACTGAAATCAGAAATACGTCAGGAACCGACAATGGGTACTTAAATACTCGAACCTTCGCAAACTCTCACATAAAACCCACATGTACTATCTAAATACACTACGTACATGAAGAACACATCTTAACAAGGAATCATGAGTTTACTCGATTATGAATAAGAAGTTATACATTTTAGTATCATTATCCCTTTCTAACATATACATATATAAAAATACATATACAGTACAACAAATAAAAGAAGAACATATAAATATCTATCTAAGTTTATCTATGATATTATTTGATACCTATATATATGTGGTAAACGCCAGTGGTGTAAAAAGTTGATAATGTATAACTTCATATCCCTTTAAGCACACACAGACCTAAAACGTACATGTGTACTAAAAAAAAAAAAACTAAATATTTTGCTTCCCAAAAGAACCAAAGGATACACTCTATTATCATCCGTGCATCTTAAATGTAATTTGTTATTTAAGCACATTCCTATTTTTGTAAATAAATACCTGTATAAATTTGATTTGTATTAACCATATATTTGTTAAATATGATTCACGTGCATAATAATTATAAATACTTATTTTTTCCATTGTAATAATAAAAATAGCCTATCAAATAATTGTCAAAATATAAACATACCTGAAATGATATGAAATACAAGCAAAACCAATGGTTCCTAGATGACCCAATAATCCTTGGCGTTAACCTACCAAAGATAATTTCCTATCGAACCTAAATGACCGAAATAGTCAAAAAATATGAATGCTTGTTCTTTCAGCCATCCCCAACAGACACTGCCTGGTACTTCAGCCGAATTTTGATTGGAAAATGTGAGCCAACGGTCGGACCCAGTGCAATGGGGATTTTGCAACCGTTAATTTTTAAACCTTAATTTTATTGTGGATGTTTTCAAAAGAATTTTGTTGGGATTTGGAACTATAGGTTCACTAGGACTATATCTATGGTATGGTAAAACCAAAGGTATATCGGTCATCTAGAACCATAGAGGGCGAATAAAATTAACTTTTTTTGTGAATAGATGGTAATGGGAGTTGTAGAGGACACCTAAGTCATCGTCTGCATGCTAAGGTTTTCAAAATACCTTCTGGGCTATTGAGCAAAAGACTAAAAGCATTAGCAGCAAGTCGTTGTGCTACTTTTTTTACCACATCTAAAGGTAATTCCGAAATTGTAATACCAATAACACCTCTTTATTCCTATTTCACATTTAAACGTCTGTGGACGTGGTATTTAATAGAATGGGGAATCGTATTTAAAAATTTCGAGGGAGTTAAATATCACTTTTAGGAATAACAAATATTAAAGTAGATGCATAATTGTCACAAACATTTATATATTTAAAAATTTATTGCACGTTATGTAAAAACTAATTCTAATGCACATTTAATTTATATAAATACACATGCTTGGATATATGCATGTCTTCTCGTCTTGTTGTCGTGAACGGTCGTCTAACTTTGAATTTTAACGCTTTTTTAATAAATAAAATATATAGCTAAGAGAACAGATCAACATAAAGTACCATAAACACAATACACCGTTTGCCAAACATTATTAAAAACATGAAAACTGCTATCACACTTCTACTACACTTTACTTACGAGATAATTAATTTAATAAACCTTATTTGCGAAACTTGGATGTCCCTAGGAGCCCGGAAACACAGGTTTCCTCATTTCACACATCAAACAGAAAATCGAGAGTTTCGGTATGCCGTAAAGAATTTGCAACTATCAACTATCAGATTATAAACCAATTTTCTAAGGTGCGTTACCAAAGGAAGAAGAACAGTAGTTGTACAATGTACTCTGCTTTGCATGATTGTGTGTTTTGTATATGTACTTGTATTTGTACTTATGTACGAATACATGTTAGACAGTTCATTGCTGGGTGGTGGGTACAGGGTATAAAAAGTAAGAGTTGAAATACTCTCTACCCATTGAAAATGCGTAAAAATGTATATTGGTTTTGTGCAAATATATGTTACAGTCAGATGGAGCACATAAAGTGTATATATTCTTGATCAGGAGGACGGCCAGAGTTGTCCGTCTTTCTTTTTCTCCGTTTGTCCGTCCGTATGCGACTATGTTTTCCTGTATCAAACGCAAAACGAGTTTATAATTTTTGTCGATATCCTGCTAATTTCGGTTGGTATATGTTATTCAAAAATTTAAGCTTTGCTGATGCTGTCTTTGCCAACTTAAAATCAATGTCTTATTTATGGTGCAAATATATATATATTTAAATATATCTGTTTCAATATAAATGTATGTGGGTACATACATATCTAGTTGTTAATTTTGTGATTGAATGTGATTATCGGATGGTAGGGACCAGAAAGTCTGCAATCCGGTGTTGAACCGAGCCGATTCGAGCCACCATCATTAAAATACTTTTTATTTTAAACCGTACCTTGATCCAAAAAGTCGTAGAAGAAGATGCATAAATGCATCTACAATTACATGCATAAGCATTATGGAATCCATCTTGGGCTATAATAATGATTTGCAGGGTTTATAAACCATAAAAGAAAAGCATATCGACCTAGGCCACATAACTAAGGCAAATTTCTGATTTTTTTGGCGGTGCGAAATGAAATTTGTATATTTTGGTTTTCTGCCATTGTCTCTTTGACTATAAGTGTATGTATGTTTGTTTGAAATCAATATGACACTGTACTGTTTTTGCTAGAGTTTGGAAGCCGAAAGTCAATTAATTAATCACAACCTCATTTCATATTGTATTGTATTTATCCCTAGTCATTGTTGCAATAATAATTAAAATGTATCTACATTTATATTAAGATAGATATTAAGTACTTTTAAAGTACATACACAATCGTATTTATTTATTTACATAATATGATTAAATTCATAAGTACATATAATTTATGAATGCATGCATATGTGTATGTATGTATGTATGTATGTATGAATACAATCAAATCAATTGGTGTAATATGTGTTGTTTACGTAATTAAACAATACAGTGTCATCATTTCACCACTAGATACTATACACACTTGTACGATATACCTATATCTATATATTTCTAAACAAATTAAATTGTCTGGTAAGTAATCTGCCTAATAACTTAGTTGATTTAGAGCTAGCATAAGCGTTAGCATATCCGCCAAGAAATAGAAGAGAGCGATCGTTATCTGACTAATTAGATCGTGAACTCAAGCAACTATTTAAGAGATGTTGATTAAACTCGTACATATCTTATAACATGATGAGAGAGACTTTGATTGTGCGCCCAAAGGACTGGGATAAATAGCACACGTCTAAAACTACAATCATACATTTTTATGTATGTATATATTTATGTATACATATGTATGTACATACCTTTTCCCATATAGTATGTATAGATAATTACCATACATGTGTGTTTGTGTATTATAGTTATACTTTTTCATTGAATATAATCGATATGGAGACGAACTTGATGAATCCGTGCCTATATGATATAAGAATATAAATATGTTAATATGGATGTACCGATACGGGATTAACTTATCATCCCAAGTTACTAACTACCTACTAGTAAATTAATATTTTGCTATGGCATTGGTGCATAAATGGCACAAAAATTGGAGCTTCCGCGTGAACCGAATCCAGCGAACAATTCTCGTCGACTACGAAACACTCTATCAAAATTAAATGTATGGTGTATGCGTATATGTGTTTGTGTAAGTAATGGCACTTGAACTGAAACTTAAAGGACTATACACAGATTTTAGCCTAAGTTGTTGTGTATTTACAAGCAAAAACTTAAATCAAAGTTGAAGAGAGTTGCGTTCTTGTCTTATTCTCATCCGAATCAAGGCCAGGGCCATAGACCTTTTCCCTTGTGCTCCACATTGTTAAGGTTCAATTTTCCAGGCCTCTATAGTGAATGTATTAATATATGTATGTGTATATGCAGGTAAGGGCGTGCCACGGTTTTCTTCACTGTTATTTTTTTATTATAATTTTTTTTTGGGAGCACGAGGCTGGAGGATCCTCATATTATCACCATGCTGATTCTTAGTCGTCGACATCACGCAGCGATGACATTTCTATGTCCTCAGATGAAAAGCCCGATGGCGACAGACTCTCCGGTGGATAGTAGTAGTTACTGCCAGCGACGGGCCCATCAAGTATAAGAGCCGGAGGTGGCGTCTCGCAATCGTCCGCATGGGTCCCGACAACGACTTGGCTCATCTCCTGCAGATGGTATACCGCAGCAGCAGCGGCTGCCGCTGCTTGAACGGTGCCCTCCGACCCGTGACCAGTTTGGCACTCAGCATTCGCGCCCGCTGGACCTGGACCAGTGCCTCCGCGACACCACAGCTGTCGCATTTCCGCACGTCGATTTCGCATCAAGACTTTGTACTCTGATATGCGCATTTTTTTCCCGTCCACTATGCAAGTGCGTTTTGGACGCGGACGATAGCGATAGTCGGGATGCTGTTCCATATGCAGTTTTGAAAGGCGCGATTGCTCCTCGTAGTAGGGCTGCTTGTCCGCGTTTGACATTGCCTTCCAGCGGGCACCCAAAATTTTTGATATATTTGAATTGTGCATGTCTGGACACGCCTTTAATATTTTCCTGCGCTCATCTTTGGCCCAAACCATGAAAGCGTTCATGGGTCTTTTAATATGCGGCTTGCTGTGTCCATGGCCATGCCGTTGTGGTTGTGAGCCCAACTGGGCATGTGCATGGCATTCCGGATCCAATACAGCTGATCTTTCTGAGCTGGTGCCGCAGCTGTTTACAGAATCGCGACTACTGCGGGCCACTCGAGCAGGGCCACCCCTCGCTCCACCGGTGGATAATTGTGGATTCGGCTCAGTCACGCAGCCACTGGCTGCACTCCACATTCGGCCCTAAAAGTACATTATGAGAACTTTATTTATTTGAATTTGGACAATATTGTTTTTTTTTATGGCAGCAGCTAACCAAAACACTAAGCAAGTAAGAGTGCTCTTGCCACGGTGCCCGTAAAATTTATTTTCGAATCCTTATGAAATTTTAAAAACTTAAAGGTCTCGACTGATGCACTCTTACTTTTTCCCTGTGCAAAATGTATGTAAATTTGTTGGGGAAATTGTAAATAAGCGGCCTAAGTATTCGCACTATTCAGGTAGGTTTGTACTTACGCGGGATTGCAAGTAGCTGGCCTCGACATCAGCGAACAATGCGGATGGTTGATGCTGATGGGATGCGAGTGGGACCGTTTGACTCATCTGCTGCCAGTTCAACGGTGGACTTGGCACAACGGGGGTCAAGCGCTCCCGCTGATCCCTTAAGCAAGAGCTGATCGGAGACGAGCCAGGGGAGCCCTTGGGCTTAGAAAGGTTAAGTGGTGCATCCATTTCAGAGCTTAAGACTTCAGACTTGTTAGCCACATTTTGACGATCCGCCGGCGAAGATGGGTAATTTATTGAGATTAAACCGTCGTCTGTGCTGTGGCCAGCGCTAACTGTTGGCACCCCAGATCGCCCCTGGGGAGAGTCAGGAGGCGTGTTATGGCTGTACGTGAGCACGGCTGTACTATTGTTGGATCCGTGCATGGGCGATTCCGATCTTGACACTCCACCCTCAGTACCACATTCGGTTGCCATCTTATGTGCCTCCATCGAGGCATCTGTCGCTTCAGCATTTGAATATTTTCGGCCAGCTTGGGTTTGGGCCAACATGGAGTTGTTGTTACTGTTGTTGCTATTGGTAATATTATTACCGTTATTACTATTATTATTAATATTATTATTGTTATTATTATTATTGTTATTATTATTATTGTTATTATTATTGTTGTTATTATTGTTGTTATTGTTGTTGTTGGTGGCAGCCACTGCGGCCGCAGCCAGAGCCGCTTGAATGTGGACTGCTGCAACCGCTGCTGTTGGCCACATCGGTTGCATTGCCAGCTTGTGGGCGTGTGGGTGAACATGGTTGTCACTTTGACTGTAGTGCGACTGCGGGGTCACATGGCCGGGCATTATGTGGTGTGCCAGCTGCTGAGCGGCGGTGGGCACTGGAGGACGCAGGAATGGAAGAAATGGTACTAGATTACTTGGCACTGTCGGAACAATCTGCTGATGCTGATGCTGATGGTGCGCCGCCGTGAATCGGCCTGTTCCGAATTGAGCACTTAACTGCTGGTGCAGCTCCTGCAGGCAACTCTCCTGGTGCATTCGTTGAACATTTTGGAGCTGTTGCTGCTGCTGTTGAATATTTGCCTCAATGTCAGTCATGCTTTCAAACTGTGCCTACAATGAAACGAGACAGTCGGTAATCGGTTATCAGAACTAAAAGTAAGTTCCAGCAGATCTAAAGATCTCAACACATGTGCATATATATGTATATCTATACAAAAAAACAATAACAACAGCTTGCCACAGGGAAGCATTTTCTCCACTTGACATTCAACTTTACAAAACCACTCTTAGTGCTCATTTTGCATTCTAAATAGAAGCCTCTCTCCAAGTTTTAGCTTCCTTTTTATCTTTATCTTTTATTATTTGCTAATTTATTCATATTATGCAGAGTATTCAGTTAAAAAGGGTTACGCACAACACAATTAGTTCTTAACACAATTTAAATTTAATTTTTTTTGGGAAATATAATCAAAATACTTGATTGTTAATATATACATGGTCACTATAAGCATTCACTCAGGGGGTTGACTATTTTTGCAGGCTAAGCTTACATATATTTTAAACATTAATTTCCTAGTCGAGGTATCCTGTACCGTTTTATGTGTAGCCATTCGAACTTTACCATACAAGATTCCTTCATTGGTTATTTTTCTAAGATAAATAACTTTTCGTACGATTTTTGATTGAATCACCAACCCCAACAATAACTTTTAATTTCACCTACATATTGTGATAAGAATTTTCCAATTTAATTGAAAATTGGGCCGAAATAAAACAAGTTTTCATATACTAAACGCGAATCAGCGTACATATAAAAATAGAAAGATGGACGGACAGAGTTAGAAATCATGATTTTCCTAGTCGAGGTAAAATTTTTGGCCATAAAAATAAACTAAACATCAGTTTTTCCCGACGCGACTTAATGCACGCATCTATTCAACCAATGTATTTTTAATTTAAGAAATATATGGCAACATTGCTTTTAATGTTATTATTTAAACTTTTACCACCGTTTCCCACTATTTGCATATGGAATTTTCCAAAGCCCCGTTTTAATGCTTTCGACCTAAAAGGCAGCATCAGTCAATATTTCACCTGCGTTGGTCTAACGGTATGGGATGCGTTCGTCACCGTTTAGTCGGTAATTTCATTCAGGACAAACACTTTAAGAAACTCTCTTAGAAGATATTTGTAATATAAGTCATATATTTCAAGCACTTGTCAATAGTTTTTTTTTTAATAATATCTTAGTTTAGTTGCACCGATTAGAGCACCGTTCCGGCAACACTTGGCAGCAGCTAGATTTGTACGTATGGAATCTCGAGATAACAATGAATCCCGGGATCGTATGCTAGTGCGCCGACAGAAACCGTTTCTTTCGTACATATGTACATATATGTGAAGGTGCGCACTTGGAAATAACCGGAAATGTCAATTGTTGTTGTCTCTCTGTTGACCACGTCTTGGTCTTCGCGATTCTGGAGCACCTCGCGTGATTGGCTGAAACAGTCAAGTTTCGCTTCGATTTTTTTGCGCTGCTGCTTCTAGCGCTTTTGTCTTTTCCAACACAATGAAATGTCCATGCGAGGCGAAGCGGGCCGCGCCTCCATTTAAGTCCAAACTGTTCGTGCGCAAGGCAAACCCAAAATCCAAAGACAGAGCCAAAACGTTTTACGTTTGTCCTTTTGCTGTTGTTACTGTTACCTTCCCGTTTCCACAGCGCTTAGTACTCGCACTCGCACTCGCACTCGCAATCGCATTCGCACTCGCATTCGTGTTAGCATTTACTGTTAACATCGACACATCGCAGAGAACTGATGCTGACGCCATGAAAATTCTTGTCTGATAAAACACTGGAATTGTCTTGTTGTCATCCATTGCGCATGTCTGTTGGTCTGTTAGTGGGAGTTGAAGCGGGAGAGTAAGACGACTGTGACATCACAGTCTTTAAGAGCAAACACTATTTGTTTGTTGAATTTAATTTACACATTCTCAATATGCACAAACGGTCCGAAAGTGTGCGTGAAATATATGTATGATACGCTCGCAAATAATAGATTGACGAGATGCGCAGCGAGAGAGAGAGAGAAACTGAAAACCGGTGCGCAGAAACTCTCAACCTGAATTTCTCTCAACGCTGATGGGCGTGCATTCAATTGTTGGTACGCGATTTCATTGCGCACACATTGTTGCACGAATTACAAGAGTTCGCTCTTTCCTTAGTTTTCTGGGTTTATATGGTTGGTGGCGCATCTTTCCGTGTCAAATACATACATAGGCATGCTCCTATGCTCTACATAGATACATACATACAAACATATATGAATGTTCCATACATATTCAAGCGAGATGTATATATACATATGCATATACATATGTATAAGCATATTTTTATAAAGTTTGCTGACGAGAAAATCAAAAACACCGCCGATGTTGCCACCCAGTTCAAAAATCAATAGAATGCGAAGGCAGCGCGATTGCGAACGTCAACGCACAAAGGGTATTGTTTAATACAATACGAGCAATCCGAAGCTGAAACTGAACCTGAAGCTCCTCCCCTTATCGTGCATCGTGCATCGGCAGAGGCAACCCTAGATAGATACGCCAACAGCGGTGGGTAATGCCTGGTTTGTCTCAGCCAATTGTCTCGTCAATTATTTTCCATTGTACCCGCATTGCGTTTCGGTTGGCTGACGGCGAGCGAAGGACAGCAACATACATTCCTGCTTATCTGCATACATATATATTTGTAGATATGTTTATGTAAGTATGTATATGTATATAAATAAACAAATGGGTGAGCACTTGCAGATTTGTTAGTATATCAGCCGTAAAGGTGATTCCTATCTACATACGTATGCACATACATATATATGTAAGTACTTAAATACATGTACACATGCCAATAATATAAATACTGTACAGCAGGTTTGTATGTACAACATACTTCAAATTAGACTTCTTCATGCCCGATAGCAGTGCCGTCGCCACACAAGCAGTCTTTAACACACCTACATATACAATAGGCTACAAATATGCGTGTATGTACATACATATTGATGCATAAAAATAACACATGTAGTATTTGTGTACATGTAGTACGTGTGCACCTACCTGCCTACCTATTATACGTATGTGTACATACATTTGTGCAAACCTACTTTCATCCAGGTAAATGTTAAATAAATTATATATATTTATTCACTGACATTTTTAGAAACATTTATGATGTAAATATATTTTTGTGTGTACATACATACAAATAGAATGGGACACCGTGTTGAAAAAGATAACAAAGCAGATGCACACAAATTAATGTAATTCAATGTATTGTCAGAAAGGCTATAAACCGGTTTTGAGGTCGAACTGGTTCAAACGCGGAATTCCAATTTATTTTTTTACCATGAACCGAACCTTAAACCAAAACAACTGCACTAAAAACAGCCAAACCGAGATCTGAACCGATCCATACATGTTCAAAAATGGGATTTTGTAGAAATAAAAACTTTTGAGAAGGCGGCTTAACTCCAAATTATTAATTACTTATCTACCATATTTGGTAGATGCCAATTTTGGGTAGAGATAAATATAGCTCGCAACTTCTATATGAAAATATCTACGCCTTCTAAATTTTGTTACAAATCCTGTACTTTGACTATATTTCTTAAGTCTTAAGTGCTAGTCACCAAATTTGACACATAGCTTTTCATATATTGAACACAGATAAGGTATATTTCATTTTTTCTTTTACCCAATAAAAAGGATGATGAGAATGAAGGGCTATCTTGGGCACGCCGAAGATACCCTTGCAGATCCACCTTTTTTATAATGCGCATAGTGATTTGCCCGTAGATAAGAAGCATATGGAAAATAGATAATGCCGAGTATGGTTAAGATATCTTGAAAAACCAAAAGTTTTTCATACAACTTAATTTTCGACCGATCCTATGGAAGCTATATGATATAGTAGTTCGATGTAAATAAGATTTTGCATGAATGTAGGGAATATAGTGAAACTTATAAATGCCGAGTTTGGTCAAGATATCCAGACAAACAAAATAGTTTTCAATACAACAACTTAAATTTCGACTGATCGTTTCTATGGCAGCTACATGATATAGTGGTCCGATGTTGATAGGATTTTGCATATAAATGAGGTGCATAGTAAAACTAATAAATGCCGAGTTTGGGTTTTTCATACAAGAACCTACTTTTCAACAAATCGTTCCTATGTTATATGATATAGTGGTCTGATCCAGCCGTTTCTGACAATAGTACTGCGTGTGACAGAAATAGGTACTTCTGCAAAGTTTCAAGACGATAGCTTTAAAACTGAGATACAACCATTCACGATAGTTTTCTATCCGGGAGAGGGGTTTTGAATTTTCTGAAAAGTGCGAAATGGGTTTCAACCCGACCAAATGTAAAGCATAAAAGTTTCATAAAATCGTTATCAACCAATTTTCAGCTGCGAGAACTATAGTCATAATTACAGTAAGAAATTCAGCTTCTGAGAGTCAGTCCGTCAGTTAGAATAAACAGCTTTAAATATGTAGATAATAAAAGCACCTTTATCTGTTATTTCTATAACACGGTTGAATCTAGCCATAGTGTGTGCTCTATAGGGTCACTAGGAGAGTGGGAGAGAGAACGGCTTAATTTGCATTGGGCCATGTAGTAGCTAAGGGGCATTTAAGGGCGGAAATGTACTCCGCCCCATTATTGGGCTTGTTTAGTATATTGATTATACGCGTGTTTATCTTTCCGAACGAATCACAAATTACATAGATGAGTTTGATGTGATTTTATTTCGTTTTATTTGTTTAACTTGTTAATTTCGGTTATGGCCTCAAAAACAGCGGCGGCGGCAGCAATGGCAATGTATGTTGAAAATTACGCTGACATGGTTGGATTGTGTTTGTGTTGGCGTTGGGTTTGGGTTTGTCCTGGGAGGCGAAAATGGGGAGTGGGCTTCATGACGAAAAGATCAAAGGACAATTTCCTGATTGTTTTATTTCGTTATTTTATTTTGTTTGCCTTCGTTCTGCTCTCTTGTGTGTTGTTGTAGTAGGTATTTTGGCTGTGTATAGTCTTTGCTTATATTTATTCCT